TGTCTTCTCACAAAGTTTTAGTTTCAAAATTTTTTGAGTGCGTTCTTGGCTAGTGCAATTATTTACAAATCATTTGCTTTCCTGTTTAATGACTATTTATGGACCAAAAGTCTCATATAATGCTATTTTTTTTTCAAACTCTTTGAAATTTTAAAAATAGAGTTTTTAAAACTTTTGTAAACCAGGAATTTTTCAAAAGCATTACAGTTTTTTAAAGTTATAAACCTCTCAAGTAATTTTGACAACCATCTAATCTTAGCAGTCATTATCTACCGTTGAAGTTCATTAACTATCATGAAAATTGAGAATTATCAAGGAGTAATGAATGACACTTTATTTTTCTTTCTAAAATATTCCTATCTTGAATTTCAAGAAACAATTATGACTGAATTCTCAAGTTAAGTTCACTTATAGTTCATCTGAAGCACAAATTCACATTCAGTTTCATGCAACTTTGTCATATTAGCTAGCGGTCATATTTCTCTTAAAATTTCAATTCTTTTCCTGTTACTTTATCTGTGCAAATAGTAAAAGAATAAATTTATACACAAATAGGGATTTCTCTACAAATCGTTTTGTATTCTTTTTATCTTCCCTTGTTGAATGACAGACATATCAACAATATATACTTTTGAATAAAAAATGAAGGTTCAGAGCCATGCTGTCTTTTCTCCTTTTATCTAAATCTAAATTGAAGATTTTTGCATTGTGAATTTTCAGATTTACTTTCCAATATTTCTGAATGACAAGATTAGGCACAAATCAAAAATAACTGATAGGAATGCCACACATGTTTATGAACTTTTGTTAAATAACAGAAAGAAAATAAGAATATCGATGAATTAAAGGTAAGTGCAAACTAACCTATTCCTTCAGATTTCATATCAGTATTCACATAAAGAATATATACCACTAATAAAAGACATTTTCCGCTACGGCCTCATCACACAATTAAATTAATAAGACCAAACACTGATCTCTGCACCATAAATAATGAAGTACCAGACACGTTTGCGCTTCCTGGTCACGTTGAGAACGTCATTTCTCGGCATCGAGAAATGTACGTATGTTAGCTAGCTCTAATTATTCTTGGAAAGTGTCATAGTGAAATGACCAAAATTACAACACGCCAACGTATCACGAATCCTCCATCAAATCGCTAAGTTCAAAGAACAAATGTCGTCCTCATCACATGAAAATGGTGCAATTTGACCAATTAAATTCAAGAGTTTTTGGAAATCAACACACCTTAACTGAGGTACAGCGATATGTCTTACACAAACACTTCCTCAACATTTCAACCCACGAGGCTGTGTGAGTTCGTAAATTGCATGCAACATGAATCGATACTGCACACAATTTGCAGCATCTATCAATGTTTCCAGCATGCCGTCATCTTTGGAAATCTATACAACAAAAAGACAAACTATGTTTAAGCAAAGTATCAAACCAACTTCATATCTCCAGTACTAATAAAAATCAATAATACCCAACGCTTTTTTCATTAGTAGGAACACTTCTGTGGGCCGAAGCAAGAATCTGTATTCTACAACTGAAACAACAATATCAATCACTACACTGAATACTAATACCAACTCAATCCAATTACGACAAAAAATGAAAAACGACAATAATCCATTTCTCATCAACAACATCGAGAAAGTTAAATAATGCTAAAATTTCAAAAAACCAGGCCATTAGCACTTCTATAATTATGACAAAACATAAGCCACAAAAACCCATTTCACATAACACTGGAAACTTAATTACTTCTGAAATACTTCTGAACATTTCAAATCTAAATAACATTAAAGTTTTATAGTTTTACAGATTAGCTTATTAACAATGGAGATTTCAATCATCCATAAAAACGGAGAATGTAATTGATGCCAAAACTTCTTAAGCCAATAATTCGCAACTGCCATTAACTTCTTATATATCAACTGTATTTGGTTGCTTGGTATGCATAAGTTTTTGAGCTGCTTGTGTACGCATAATAGTTGAATGGAAATGTGCGTGAACAAGTGTTTCGTCGAATTCTCGACGACCAAAAGGATTATTGCAACTTGCAGCTGTACAAGCACAGGGGAATGAAGGTCGATCCACCTGGAATACGATTGTAACAAGTAAAACAACAGTTAGCAGCACGTACTAATTCAGTGATAACTTTTTTCTTCAATCAGTGATAACTTTTTTAAAAGTTTAATATAATGTAAAGTTCGTAAAAGGAATAAAATTAACAACTATGAACAATAGGCTATTTAAAAAAAAAAAAAACATCGAGGGAAATAAAAGTCAATTCTTCCCAATTTCGTTTTAATCAATTCAATACGACCAAAACTAATAAGTCAGTATAGAAAGGGCAAATGGCAATACAGTAGAACAACAAAAACCCTTACCAAGCATTCGATACCATTTCTAGAACACTCGCAAGTCTCGGGTGAACACGGTAAGGTACCACATGAACAACCACATTGTTTTCGACTTTCCCGTATAACATTACAGATAGTTTGGTCATCCTTGAAACAAATTTGGACTACTTCACCAAATTTTTAGAAAAACTTACCGAAAAATCTTGTCGAATAACTGAAAGATATTTTACTCTTTTTACATATTATTTGTTCGTAACTGTTGTCCACTTAGAAAGCGATCAAATACATGAAAAAGTAGAAAGATTGAAACAGTATAAGAATTTAAAAAGAGACTGACCTTCACAAATTTTTTAAACCCTGCACGTCTCAATTTGAGTAATCTAATTCTTCGACTAAGTGGACGAAAATATTTCTTTACTATGTAAATATTATCTTTTTCGCCTTCTTCTTCTGCCTGAAATTAAAAAATTTACACATTGGCAAAGAAAAAAATTACCGTTACCGATCAAATTTTCTCCCTAACGTTAAAAAGCATACGTTATATTTTGTCACACATTTTGGCATATCTGTTGAAGATGTCCTTTCAGATATCTTTGACTCTTCGTTATCTTCATTCGCAATCGCTTTTTCTTTCGATAATTTGTAGTCGTTTGTAATCGCCTTCGTTTGATCCATTGATCCATCACTAATTCTTAGCCGCTTTGTCACTACAGAGTTTTCGTCCAAAGCATTACAATACTTTCGTTTACGTCTAGCTGACACCGTGCATACTTGCTCAACCAAATTTTTTGTAGGCAATTTGTTATCTTGAGACTTAAAGAAATAAGATAAGAAAATTTTAAGACCCAAAGACCCAAGTCTGAATCAATAAAACATTAATGAGCAACAACTAATGTTAATATACAGATAAAGAACTTTTTGTACTTTAAACGGTCCTTATATCGGACACACTAAAATGACGGATCATTATCAAAAGTCTGAAAATAAATGATCAGAAGAAGTAATCTTCAATAACAAGAAAACACGACAAAAAAAAAACCTTAGTTATGTTATTACTGGCCATTTTACTGTGGAGTGCAACTTCACGTATATCAAAATGCTTCTTTTGCATTCCTACAATCAACATTTACAAAAATGAAGCAAATGGAATTAAATTCCATCAAGAAAATTATTGAAGGATATCCGCTAATAAAAATAAACATGGAGCATACATGCGCATTATCGAGATCAAACATTGATAATTTTCAGGTGATCCAAAAAGGTTACACAAAAGTTAAAAGCAAACCAAGTGCAAAGCCACCAGACGACGGAACAACATCAAATCCCTGTGTTCTCTCGAAAAGGTAGATTTTCACATTTTCAAATCGCACTCCTTTCTTATGCCTATAAATAATCTCCTTCTCACTGCGACACAAACTTCCTTAAGATAGCGTAATGCAAGCATTGAAGATCACTGAAAACTATGCACACTGCAGCATTTTTTTTTTTTTTTTTTTGAGATTTTGTAATGCTTTCAGATCATTCGGATGAAACAATCCATTCATCGTTATTTCCGCTTCACACAATCTAACGAAATTTAATATGAACTCTAAATCAGACATAATACAGAGGAAAGAAAAACCTATTTGGAATGAAACAATGTTTAACAATTACTTTAGTTAATTTACACGCATTTTATTTATTACAAAAAGTACCACTTTTGCGCAGAATCTCCCTTCAAACATAACAAGTGCAAAACTTTTTGTTTCATCATGGAATTTAAAAGAATTTCACCTTCCATTATTATTTGCACTGCTATTATTTATGTTATTATCTCCGGACGTGTTGTTTGAGTTATCACTGGAATTTGAGTGACCACTGCAAAGTGAATACTGTGCATTCATTCCAATTTGTTATTTTCTTGCTGAAAAACTCAAAACCAAACAAAACAAAGAACTTGAAACCCAACAAAAAAGAATGTTAATTCCTATTCAAAACTTCTCCAAGAATATAATCTGATTCAGAAAGATTATTCGGAGGCAATTCGACACGAAAACTTCCCAAACCAACGATGCTAAAATTTTCCTGCAAACTAGCACCATCCACAATTGCGACTCGAGTTAAGCCCTTCCTTATGCTCTTTGCGATGTAATAATGACTGCTTATCCATCAGCTGTGCTATCTTTCCGGTTTTCCTGATGCTCGGGGAGAACTTCGGTTATCAATTCTAATATTAGCTGAGGAATATATTAACGTTCCGGCTGAAGAAATATTGACTTCTTCATCCTAGAATCTCTCTCCGCTCTACAAGTCCCTACCCATTTTCTAGAAGCATTAGACGGCTCACAGTCAGTCGCATGCTGCAACAGGAAATCTCGATGATATAGCGATTTACCCACCCAACTCTTGTTTACCCTCTAGATTGTCTATTTAACATTTCCTCGTATTCGGACTAAAATCTGAATCAAAACATTCATTTATCAACTATTAAAAGAGTGTCAATTTATAATGAGGACATATATAGAACTTTTACGAAATGAAATTTATCAACAAGCTCTGTGTTTTATATAACAAGACGAATTCATACATATTTATTAAATGCTTAATCAACAAGGAAAGAATACTAAAGGTTAGCATGTATCAAGTAAGTCATTCTTCTCGGAGCGAGATTGACAAAACACCGGTTTTGTATGACGTACTTTGTGGTACCTCACCACTGAACACGATCAGATCGTCAACCGATATCTAATAAAATTTAACGCCTTTAATTTTTATTATTATTATTATATATATATATATATATATTTTAAGAGAGTCATGTAGTAATAAAATAAAAAAATATATGGACAAAGATATATTTATTATCTAAATATATATATATAAATGTGTAAATCGAAGTATCTAAATTTTTGGAAAATCGATATTCAGATAGGTACTTTCAGATATTTAAACTAAAAATAATAAAATAAAATTTCAGATATTTCAAATACACTTTCAGATAAAGTTTAAATACGTTTGAAATATATATATATATAATAGGATTTCATCATAAATACATGGATAGATTTCAAATTAAAAGATAAGGACATGAATATTATTTCTCTACTTGATCTCATAAATTCTCAAAGAAGAGACTAAATAATAATGAATTCCTTATTTCTTCATAAAATTATCTATGAAACGAACAGTAACAAGCCGCGCTCCCCGTTCTGTTGTCTTCCGATAGTTATATATATTGATACGTGATACGTACGTTGGAAAGTCGAACACAACAAATACTCTTGCACAACGATTAGGCAATATTGGTGTTAACCACATATGTGATGGACTGGAATTCTCAATAGATTTAATTTATGTAAAAGAAGACACTTTTATAACCTTCAGAAATATGCCACAAATTAATGTCCAAATATTCTAAGCTTTTTAAACTGCCATAAAATCGTATGATCTGATAAAATGAAAAGCGGACTTCTCGGTATCATTGAAACCATCAATCAGTTTGTCGCTTGTTCGTGGATCATCGTTAACATTCGGTAATACATTCACACTCTCCGGATATGCTGCCAAGTCTGTAAAATCGCTGTATTTTTATAAATTGTGGTAATGTAATAGCTCATGGAATAAGTGACTACTTCGGTATGATTAGAACGAAATTTTCATACTGTCATTCATGTAAGTTAGATCAAAAAAAATATCTTAGAATAAAAAAAATCTGGAATAGTAATGTATGAGCAAACTTTGTGGGAGAAGTTTGATAAGTTCCTCGCGATGATCGTAAAATTCGATCCCGTTTAGACCGATGTAGTATTCATCACCCCAACTGCAATGCAACCGTAACTGATATGTAACTGCAAAACATAATGTGTTCTCCAGGTAAGAGATAACATTTATGACAGAGGATGTTATTTTATGAAACTTCAACGTTTTAGGTGATAAATGATTTAGAAAGAAAGATTAACTAACAACAATTTCGAGAATTCGAGAATATTACTGAAATGACAATTTTGAGAACGCTATTACTAACATCCGTTAATAGACTGTGTCTGTGGCCTAGATATAGGCTTATAAAGGATGCATTTGTTGAAAATGATATCTTGTACGTAATCAAAATGAATATATCCTGAAATTTCCATTAGCAAAGAGAAACTTTCAAATGCCTAAGCTTAAAGGTTTAAAGACAGTTCCAACTTAAAGGAATTTGAAACCATAATAATATAAGACGTGAAAAGAGAATAGCTCAATTATTAGAAAAAGGATAATTTAGACATTTTCAACGAATTTACGACAGAACTTCAAACAGTCGTAGCAATAGGAAGTGTTACTTTGTCAACAAAATTATGAGAAACCTGGAGCTTTCCTTAGCAGTATGGGACCTTGAAGCAGTTTACTATTTACATATATTTGGATGCAACGTACTCCAGCATATGACATTTCCGGTGAAGCATTGTAATTCCATACGCAGATACCTAAAGGATAAAAAATTGATATTTATCTATGGAAGTCATTGGTAACTTACTCTTCCATAACTTTGTAATTCTTTTTTCATTTCAAAAAAAGACTGCAAATTCAAAATTCAGATTTTAATAAAACGCCATAATCATAGTCTGATTATTCGTTTGCATGTAGTTATAGAAGTTCCAGAGACCATGCTATGCTTATACTAATTAATACACCTGAAGCTATAATAGGTTCCGCGAACGTCACCGTTACTCGCACTGGTGGTGAATTACGTGAATACGATGAAAGCCACATATCTTCCCTGTTTCTTGTTAAATTTCTCCCATTCAATAACCTAAATTCAATCTTGTTTACTTACAAATATTAGCATTAAACAGATTATCGCAGATGCAATTCATAAATTTGGACAAACAGAAAAAATGCAATATTCGCGAATTTCAAAACTCTGATACAAAAGAGTTTTCAAGTGAAATAATTAATTTGAAATAGTGAACAATCAGTACTGTTATGCTGAGTACTTCATTCAATTACTCTCGGTATAGTTGAAAATATTGGAGGATTTTCCGGAGGATTACATGCAATCATTACCATCCTTAACATTTGTTCAATAAATATTTACTAACACTTATAGCAATATGATAAAAACCTGTGAGAAGTTTGTGTGGCAGTAGAAGTTGTTATACTGCAGTCTGAAGGATCCAAAACGATACCATGCGGGCCGAGAAATTGTAAACCCGTTAAGCCAATGCAATCCGGTGCACCCCAGTTTTCCAGAAGTTCTATGTGAAATACTAAAAATATATTTCTGAAGTAGGATTTGGAATATTTTCTTCAGCGACATCAAAGTTTTAAAAAAGCTGTTGCCATTCTTTCATTAAATAAGATGTCATACAGTTAGCAAAGAAAATTGTAGAAATTCACTCCTTCATTGTCTCAAACATGTTTATAATAGATCATGCAGTAGGACTATTTATTTGATCTTTCATGCTAAAGTGCTGATTTATATATGAGAATAGATACGAGTCACATTAAGATTCGCTACTACTATCATTATTATTATTCATCTACAAGAAAACATAGTTACAGCTGGTTTTAGCAGCATTTATTAACTTTAGTCATTTCCACTGAAACAAGCATTTTCTAAATGTAAGAACTTAACTAGTTGTTATATAGTTCTCCATAAATCTGCAATACCTTTAAGTAAAAAAAGACCAATATCTTCTTGTTCTGCTTTCATCTCATCATTTTCTATTCCATCATCTTTTTCTGTAATGCAGCTATGAACAGATAGTTTTGAAATATTTTCTTCAGCGACATCAATATTTGTTGATTTTTGATCAGTGGATCGAATTGTACTTCGAACTCGAGGTCGTCGATCACCAGTAGATGGTCTGAGAGCATTTGGCGCACTTATTGTTTCTGTTCTTGACGGCGCTTCAATTATAAAAGAAATCTCTCTGCTATTCTCTGCTATCTTCATTATTTTTGAAAAAAGTAACACATCTGATAAACAGTCAATTTAACTTTCATTAAGGTAATTACCAATCATTTGGTGATGTTATCTTCACTATACTAAAGTTATCTCAAATTCAAAATTTTTACGGATCTAATAACAAAGATTTAAAATGACTACATTCGTTCAACTGTAATAGTAATTTGAAATAATGAAGTAAAAATTCCATAAAAAATCATCCAATGTTATTATTTTAATCAAAATTATACATGTACCATTGTATCGAAGCAAAGATTTGTAGAATATTTATTTTAAACAAAACCTTCAAGGTCGTTCCCCAGTTCTTGAAGATCCAAAGCACTCCGCATTATTTCATCTCTTCGTAAACACTTGTCGTTTTCAGCGATTAGTTCCAATATGGCATCATTTGTTGTAAATAGAATCGTCTGAATCATACTGAGATTAATACAGAATCATCTCTCCTTCTAACTATACAAATGAAATCATCCGTATGCTCATCATGCATGCAATGATTTCGTCATGTTCGGCCATGTTTTTTTGCCTCATTCTTTATAATTTCAAAAATATTTCAATAAATGCCTATAACCGTGAAATCAAATTAAAAGCAAGTTCTACACAATGTATCGTTATTAGTAAAATTCTAACGGCAAATAATATTGAAAGTATGTATGTTCCGTATCTACTGAAAATCCGGTGTTGACAATTAGACCTTTCAGAAAATGTATCGGAAATACTAACATCACCCATGGATTCTTCTTCATTTTCAAAAGTAAATGCACATGATATCTCGCCCTGAAATATTGTTACACCATCCAATTCGATCCGAAGATCATGCACACCGCACAGTGCGTGAACACGCGATTCGTTATAATTCTGTAAAATTCCTTCGTTGCTTTTTCATAATTTTAATTTGAAAACTTAACGGTTCTTTTTGTTTGTTTGCTTGTTTTTTGCAATTATTTGCTTACTTATTTCGATTATATAAGCTGTTTATTTCGTTTAATCTAGATTAATAAAAAATATATACCCAAATTCGGATCATCGCAATACTTTCCTGTTTTTTGAGGCGGATTTCAATGTGAAGTAATTCTGCCAGATTATCGTACCTAAAACCGTTACCTCAAAATATTACTTTTGCATTCTGATCTATGTCATACTATACTTCCGCTTCTCATTTTTCATGGAGTTTCTGTGTTTCTTTAAGAAAGTATATATACCTGGCAGACCACATTTTACATGGATCATTAGTAGATAAATTCACTTCTCCATTCTTGAATACATTATCCAAAGAACCACGCGTTATAGTCGCATTTGTTTTCATCTGCAACTTCATTTTTCGTTTTTTTATAGTATTGCTGAGAGTTATTCAAAGTATATCAGTCAATTCGAACATTCGAGAGTAATGGATTGTCTTGAGAAAAAGAAATCAAAAGAAGAAATTTCCTTACTTCGTCGATCTGTGGTCTCTCACCAGCCGTATTAAATAGTTCGATAGCGTTGAGACCAATGAAGTGGGCATCATCCCACGAACTGCACAGGATGAATCGAAAGAGCTCACCTCGCGGGAGCTCTGGAATCGCAAAAGCACATCTTAAATTGAATCGTGAAAAACACGTAAGACTACCTTCAGTCATCGTAATTGTCATCTCATCTTCTTCAATCACAGTTCAACCATTAAACCTAAGTTTTGTTATCATAATTTGCTAAAAGAGAACTAACTATAATGAAAAGTCAACTTTCATACGTACGCTTCGCCTGATCCATTGCAGTCAGACAAGTGCTTCTTCGTACTCATACTTTTAGACATCTTTGTTCTAGATCGTTCTATGAAATGAAAAAGAACTGTCTTCACGGACACCACAGACTATCTCATTAGAATGATCGGGAGATTGACTTTGATCTTTCAATCTAAATTATAGGTGATTAGAATTTATCAGGATTCTCTTTTGCTAGTTGAAGAGCTAATCCATGCAAAAGTTTTAGTTTTAACTCTTTCTGGAAACCCAATTTCCAGCTTTTATTATTTTTTTGCAGAAAAGGCCTTGATTTTTCAATAGCAGATGATAGAAGCAGATAACACATTGCTTAACAACAAATTAGCTTAACTAATTTGCTTCTAAGACATATCTAAATCCCATCATTGTACCGTGCACAACCAATGAATGTCAAAAACGGTGGTAAAATGAAAAAAGAAGCATTATTTAGATGTTTGTTGGAAAATGAGCGAAGTTAAAAGTATATGGTGTAGTGAAAGTTAAATGTGTCGCAAGCTTGTGACATGTTGCCATGGACACCCTCATGCAGTCGCAACTTGAATTGACTGTTCTTTTTCATAACTGCCTAATTTTTAGTTTTTTCGATTGTTTATCACAAGCTCAACTGGTTGCTGTTACTATCTGCGCATAGCCTTTATTTTACTTTCTGCCAGTAAAACAATTCACATTCCGTTTGTGCATTCTTTTCAAACATAATAACTTACCAGGCAACATTGTATTTAACCTTTCTAGATATAGCACAGAGGTCAACGAAATTTATCACTTTTTTCACGACAGCAATGTGCAATAACATCTGATACCAGCAGCTGAAGAGACTATTTGATCGGATTAAATCTTTTTCTTACCAATACTGCAAAATGCAGATGTGGTGAAGCTTTCTTCTTGATTACATCGCTATGACCTTCTGAAGGTCAAAATTGAGCCTTCCTTGATTCCTTGATCATTGCGTAGATGAAAACAGAACAATCTTATAACTAGTTCTATTCAGTACGATTGTTTTAAAGAGACACGAAATATTGATTAAGCCACAACGTCAGATTTAAGTTATCTTGCAGCCAAATTTCCTTCTAGAAAATGAATATTAAAACACAAATATCAATTTCGGGTTTCTTGATTAAAAAAGAATAAAACAAGGTGTGAGAAAATTCAATCGTAAGTCTTGGTGCAATTAAACTTGTCATTCAGTGTTAAATTCAGCTGATTTTAGCAGATAGATCCTTCGCAGAGCGGCTTCACATAAACTCGGACAAAAGGTTCTTCATAAACTTCCGTTATATTCAGTTCTTCGAACATCCTGCTCATGCTAGATTGCTGTTCTAATTCATTACTCAATTTTGGAGCTTTTTCCAGTTCTCCGTCGTTTGGCAAATCATTTTTTGTTGTAGCTGCGTGTTCGAATAACTGAATCGTAGACTTAGTAGTCGTCGATACGATGTCCCTTTCGAACATTGACTAAATTTTAAAAATTATTTCGAATTATTTCGATTTAAATTAATTTTGTTAAGGGATTTCTCATGCTTTTCTAGACCAACCACTTTTATTTTCCACAAAATCTCGACTACGATCATAAGCACGAAATAACAGAAAGTTCAAAAACACTCCAAAATGGGAAATCTTCCAAATTTTGAAAAGATACGAAAATTTACTTCATTTTGTTGAATGTCGTTATCATTTTCATTTTTGTCCCACACCGTCATTGGCAAATAAACGGCCTGTTCATCTGGATCAGTAATCGTTAAGACTAGTGGCTCAATCCAATTTCCTAGCATTATACCGGGTATCATCCGACGTAAGATATCATAATCTCTACTTTTCACATTCTGTTCTTTTTCATATTTAATATATTCGAGTTCCGGTGAGCGATACAGTGCTTCAGTCGGGAATATATTTCCATTCGATTTCTTTATCCAATTCTTTTCATAATCTGTAATGTATCATTAAAATATAATATTTTATATTATACATTTATATTATCGTATAATATCATTTAAAATGCTCACAACATTTTTTTTAAAAATAAATCACTAATTACTTGATCCGAAAATTTCTCTAATATAGCAATATAAGAAAAGAAATTGCCTAAGATTTTGTTTAAGTAAAAATAGATTCAAATGAAGGAGGAAGGAAAAATGCTAACCATTGGCTTCATTACGATCAATAAATCGTCCAAATAAAACCGAAAATAAATTGGGCAACAAAATGAATAGTATAAATAACATAGAGTTCCCACTTCACTGAAAGAGAGAGATTGATGAATACAATCAGAGTTGCACATATCATATAAGATAAACTGTTACTGTATCAATTAACACAATAATCATTACTCAAACTGCAGCTGTATTATATTCAAACTTTTTAATTACAAAGCAAAACAAAGCAACCAAATATCATATGTTGAGAGCCATAGCCATAGTTGTTCACTCAACAAAAAGTGATGCAGGAGGGAAATTTCATCATTGATGCAAATTAAGTAAGTCACCGTCCTTTTCAAGCTAAGACTTCTCATGTAAATAAACAAGAAGGAGAAGCAGGAATGGTGAATCACTTCCCATGTATGACAACATATTATTCATCATGAGTTAGAAAAAAGACTGTGTAGTGTCGGAAGAGAAACAAATATTGAAAATAGATGATCTTATCGATTTTATTGATGAGAAATGTGATAAAAAAATAACGAATAGATTGAGGTTGATAAGCATGGAATGGAGAAGAGGAACAGGGAAATGTTTCAAGACAGCCATTCAAGTTAAAGTGCTCTATCATTAACTGATTGATTATCAATGCGACTCATCAGACAAAAACAGAAGAAATACGACAATACGAAAAAGAGAGAGAAAAAAGGAGAAAAAGGACGGAAAATTCCTTTCTTCTCACCGCTTTAAAAATAATCTTCCAATTAGTCTAAATTATATTTCTCGACCAAAATATTTCGAAATTTTCTGAACTTATTTTACATTTGATATTACAGTATATATTGAATATTAATTAAGAGTCTAGGCTCAGAGTGATTTAAAAATCGATTATTTTAAAAATCGAACGTAATTGACCTTTTCGAATGCAAAGAACGGAAAAATATAAATTCATTTTTGAAATTACAATGCAGTAAATAGTAATAACATAATTAAGATGGCAATTTAAGTGATACAATGAAACGGCCATTTTCACTGGTCTTCAGCTTCTACTTAATGAACTTGAGTTGTCCTCTTCAGAAGCCAGATTCTTTTCGGATTGTTGTTGTGTTTTTTCCGTTTTCTCTGGGAAGCATTGTCTGACTTGCTACAAAAGCAGGAATAGCTGGTCAAGTGATCTTTCTCGATTTGACAATTACCTTACAAAACTGATTAAAGAAAGAACTAAATTTAGTGATAGAAGTAATTGCTCATTTGAAAATTCTAGAAATACTAGGAAAAATTGAAGAGATTGAGAAGAAATACTGCTAAGTTATATTTGAGAAGCATACATGCGCTCTATATTTCTTTTCTGTACATTACGGGACAAACTCGTGCAAACTAACTTTATAAAATGCTATTAATTCCTTCTTTACTTGTTTAAATTCTTCGTCAGCTTGTCGATTGATCCGTTCATTAATGTCTTGCAACTTATTTTGTTTTGTTCGTACCTTTCCCTTTGTCTGTATGCATTAAAAACCAATATTGAAAAATTTCTCAATTGCCAAGACAAATAAAATCTACTAATTTATCCAATGAGTCACCAAACGCTTGCTTTTGTCAAGAACTTCTTATGCGAGCAAAATACTACAATTTCAATTAAACTTCACTTATGAGTTGTACCTGTGATTATACCCAGCATATTACGATTAAAATTAACCTATTGACTATTTCCCATGCTATCTAACCGTTGATAAGTTACAAAGTGAGGGTAATGTGAGTGTTTTAGTTTTTTGCTTTTAGATTTGTAGTTAATTGAAAGATTAAAACCAAACTTGATAGATATTTCGGATCAACTTGGAATCGGATGAATCTGTTATTTGAGTGGTTGATGCACTTGCTTGAGTTGTACGATCTGTCACTTCATATAATTTTCCGGAAGATGTTTTTAAAGATGTCTGTTGATTTTGTTGTTGTCGTTGTTCATGCTCTTGTTCTTCTTGCTTCCGGTTTTTTTGCCTTTTTCCTTTTATGCAATAGTAGTATGCTGCGATTGCGACCACTATGATAACAGTGACCGCTGTGATGATTGATATAATTAGCCATTTGATCTTTGACTTCGTACTACCCTTCTTTTTACCTGTAGTAATAGTAGTTAAGTAATAAGCCGATGAAATAAAATAATCCTTCCTGTAAGATCTTTACAAGCTTTAAATGAAAAAAGAATATGGCTCAATAGAAGTTTGAAGTAATTTTATGATTGGTTAATAAAGAAGTACTAAGGTAATGAAACGATCACTGTTTCACTTCTAACATTTCCAGAAAGAATATGGATTCAGGAAATTAGGATGCCAAACGTAAAATTATATCATATCATTTATCCAAAGTTACATCAATGACAAATGAGTTGTAGTAATGGCTGTCTAGAATTTCCGAAAGATAGATAACGTTTAAATGAAACGATTGATAAAAGGATTACCTAGCATAAGTTGCCAACATGCGCATTTGGTATTAAAGATCAGATAGACGACTACATCACATTACTGAACAGAGCTAATATTCGCAAGGAAAATGAAGAGTACATTTGGGTGAAAAAAGTACATATTCCTGAATATTTAATATATCGAAAATAATTACTTTCATTACAGTCGAATAACAGCCACTTCATAGTGTCCTCATTTACATCATTAGCGATACTTACATCACATAGTTGATATGGCTGCAATTGTATCAGTCAAATCTTCTAACAATCTCCAATTTCAAATTTTTCTTATAATCTCCAGTTTCCATGCGGTCGTTTTATATTTTGATGACTTTTCGATGATATTTCGCTGATTCCCATCATCAGCTTGGGATGCAAATAGCGGTGAGTCTTTTGATCATGACCCAAAAGAATTCAATCATTGAAGTGGAGTGAACTTTACACTTAAAGTACTATAATAATGAATTTTCTATAAGCATAAATAAACAACACTTTTACATTTAATCGCATTTCCGCAAGGCAATTCGTTGTTGTCCCGAATTACTTCAACAAGTCAATATTTTGTAGGACAGGTACTTGTAAAGTATTTATATAAATATTTATGGCAAGAATTATATATTTACAAATTTATACCTTTTTATACTTCAAATAGAAAAGAAAGCTCAGAGGAGGAAAACATAAGCCTTAATTTCAGGAATCTAACATTCAACAAGCATTTTGCATACCCGTTGAAGCATTGCTTCTTTGTAATTTTCAGCAACATTAATAACACGTACACGTAGATCTTCTGGCACTGTTTTAGCGTATTGGATAACTTGTATCAACTGATTATTGCATTCTGCATTTACACTCAAAATTGTTAATTGGTTATTCTTCCTATGGAAATAACCTTCGTTTGATATGCACTGCTCAACTTCTTTTCCACTGAATGTCTGCAAACATCAGGAAATCTTTAGACGGCTCATACTTCTCGTTAAGACTTGTTGAATTTTAAACTCCTGAAATTAAGACTTGTTTTTCTCTTCTGACCTTTCTCTTTTATTTGAAGTATAAAAAGAGTTATAAACTTGTAAATATATAATTCTTGCTGTAAATATTTATGTAAATACTTTACAAGTACCTGTCCCGCAAAATATTGATTTGTTGAAGTAATTCGGAACAACAACGAATTGCCTTGCGGAAATGCGATTAAATGTAAAAGTGTTGTTTATTTATAAGACTCGTTATTATAGTGCTTTAAAATGCAAAGTTTACTCCACTTCAGTGATTGGATTCTTTTGGGTCATGATCAAAAGACTCACCGCTATTTGCACCCCAAGTTGATGATGGGAATCAGCGAAGTAGACTGTCATCAAAATATAAAACAACCGCATGGAAATATGCGAAAAACTAAAAGCTTTCGAACAATTCACCGGACTAACCTTTTCATCATTTATTTCACAGTAATAAAAATTTCTTATTTAATTTTGCGTGTTGCTCCATTTATTAATCTTCGACAAATTCGATTCCTTCAATATAACCTGTACTGATATTGAATTGCAATTTTATTTTATTTTTCACTTTTTTAATGCATCTAAATTCCTACAGCATTGACTATATTAAAAGCACCACGAAAATACCAGATATTTCATTCCAAATTACTCGTACTTTATTCAGTTATCAAGACACAAAAACAAAAGAACAGTGACTGTAAGGAAAAATATTATAGAAGTGATACAAATAGGTGATACATTAACAGACTTGTTGGAAAAATCAAAATAATTTTATATTAAATCCATAAGATGAAAATTTGTATATGAATACTGTCTTATTTGAATAGAAAAACACAACGTCTTAAACTGTTTGAATTTGATATCTCAGTTAAGAAATCATTTACCCAACACTCAACTTGCAATTGTAGCAAAGCTTATGTGCACTGTTTAAAATGTTACAATCTGTTGACAAAGAATATGACATTGCTTAACATTTTATAAATTGCGTCCACTTTACTGTCAGGATTTTCCAGTCTGACAGTCAAACTTATATCCGATGGTTAGAAGGTTGCAAGCTGTTTGTTCAATTAGCTTTCTCTCTCATAAACTTAATTACTTGCAATTCGAAATATTGTGAAAGTCGTTCAGTCTGACAGTCACTCTTATAAGCAGTTGACATAATACCATAAAACACTCCGACACTATGTAGGCAGTTAAAATCATCGCTTTAGCTCAGTTTTTTGCATATTGCAAGCTTCGATTCAGTTTGTCTCAATACTTACTCACTCACTTACTCATTTACTTACTTAATTTACTTCCAACAAATGGCTTAGTACAACAGTAATAGTGGCGAGTGACAGTTATAAAGGGAAATTAGTGAACATGTTTGTTGGTATAGTAATATTCACTGTTCATTTCTTATTGTATAAGCCGGTATTGTACAACAACAATAAAGCTATTTCCAAACTGTGGAATTACGGAGAGACAGGAACACATAATGCTAAAACCATCTCCTAATTGCAAATATCAATCTTTTCGAGAGGCTCAGCGAATTCAAAAATAACAATCATACCGTTAACAGAATATGCACCATTCAACTGTAAGTGATTAACTTACAAGGGCGAATAAAGGAACTGAAAACAATCAAAGTAATTGATAATCATATAAGATCTTTTAATAATCGTGCCGTTACATCTGAGGTTTTAACAATCATACCTTAATAAATAAGCCTCCGGGTCATATAATGAAAATTCGAAATTATTAAAAATTCTGAAAATCAAAATTTCCTGAATGATATAAACATTAATATGATTGTAGCAGAACTGCTTCGAGTATAAGAGAAGAAGAAAGGATGTGGAACAAATTTGAAAGCTTTGTTACTAGCAGTGAGACTGCCAAATGCATGTTGTCCCATTGTAGCATCATTGTTGACAAGCAATAACACCGCCACTGCTTTTCAACTATCGAAATGGTACACTCACAATGTCTGGAAAAAGTGTCATTTTCATTTCTAATCGATTTGTATTTTGAAATTATATGCAAAACAAATAACAAACTTAGTGAAATATCCAAATGTATTGAAATTCTTCATAATGCAGTACCGACCGTACAGAGAAAAAAATTCTCTAACGTCCATTTTCAATTCTAAGGTCACTCAGGTCAGGAGACTTCAGTGCTTTGCGTCCATTTTTCAAATTTATCATGCATGAACATTAAAAACAGCGATGGGAAACAGAAATTCTTCAAACATTCCGCAGATCGATATCCATCGCTCATAGTTATTCCAGCTATAAATTATCTATTATTTCTATTCGCTTAACTAATTATTTTTAAATATTTATTACTGCTTTGTGATATTTATGTATTTCATTGCTCTTTAAAAGATAAATAGAATAAATAAACAACATACATACTTATTATAATAATAAACTTCATAATCTTCCTTCTTCACATAGTTCATTTTAAGGTTTCAAATTTTTACAATTACCTACTGTCTTCATTTTCCAACTGTCTTCCAGTCCTGATAAAGCTTTCCTTAAGCTTACCAACTTTGAATAATATCGAAACTTAAACAAGAGTGTACCAATTGCATCATTCAGCAACAGAATAAAAGGAAAAAGTGGACGGAAGCCCAGTTTATTGCTATAATATGAGGACTGTTGTGATGCATTAAGGAGTAAGAATAGCTTTTCATTCGAAAAACACAAAGCAAAAAAATGTAACCGAAAGATCCTAATCAAATCAATCAACACTCCATGCTATCAAATTTTATGAACCGTCTAAAGCAATTTTTTTTTTTTACTCCAAATTCAGAACGACGTGCAAAATCTGTCGTTTTAGGAAAATGTGCGATTCCCGAGTAGCCGATCTTGAGTTAGAGAAGCTTAAACCAACAAAAGAGGTTGTGCTGAAATAGAGGGACTGTAACATGAAACATTTCAGCCTGACAGTGTTAATGTTTTGAGACAAAAGTGTGTCGAAGGGGGACTACTACTTCAGATAGTATTCGCGACTGCGTTGGTTTGTAGTTTGATGGTTCGTGAGAGATGTTCCGATGAGTTCGTACAGCTGATAGCTTTTCAGGGCTGGAAAGGATGTCTTCTTCCGCTATCTATATACTTGATCTTAAAGGCAAAGTAAGTGAACAGTGTAATTCTCACGTTCTTTTGTGTTCTTTTTTTGGTACAGTCGTTTAGATGTAAGACATTGGTAGAATATTCGGAAGTTGAATCGTTCTGAAATAGGCAATCTGACAAGATTACAATAATTTACGCTTAAGAAGTTACTGTTGCACGTTAAGTGAGTAAGTTAGATGAAGATGTAGTGCTAAGATTATTTAGGATATTACATACATATTTAGACAGATTCTGTTTTTATTTTTTATAACAGGCGATAATATCAAGGAATTACCGAGGTGATATAGACATGGCGGTCATCGATAAGTTTATGCCTTTACTGTTGGAACGCGAAGAAGAGGGTCGTCAGAGTCCAGCTCTCGAGCATCCTGAAGCTACCTTCATTTACTTCAGACATTCAAACCTTTATTGCAAGTCTTCTGATTCTTTTAATTTTGTTTGTTGCCGAGTTAGTTTTTCAGGTCTTACATAAATTTCTTGCATATTGGTGTGCTGTACTTAGAGTTACCATAAAAATCTAAATATTGTTCATTGGAATAATTCAATATTAATATAGAAGGTATTGGTGCAGAACGAATTCATTTTCAAGGCTTAGAAGCGACAATTTTATATTTTGATATGGCAACTATTTTCAAATTCTGCCGTTATTTTTGGCTTTAGTTACACGGTTTATTCACATCTTTTCAGTTGTTTCAACATCACGTAAAAATGTAAATGTAGCACTAGTGCTTACATTTCTATACAAGATAGTGGAAGTCCTTGGAGAATATTTGAAAGATGTCGAGGAAGAATCGATTCGTGATAATTTTGTAGTCATCTATGAATTGCTGGATGAAATGATGGATTTTGGATATCCGCAAACTACTGAAGGGAAAATTTTGCAAGAGTAAGATTTATCCTATTTTTAACCTATGGAGATCTCTTGATGTTGTTCATAAATATTAAATAGGTAGCTAACTGTTATATTTAGGTTCATTACACAAGAAGGACATAAATTGGAAGCTGCACCTCGACCACCAATGGCTGTCACGAACGCCGTTTCGTGGCGTTCAGAAGGTCTCAAATATCGCAAGAATGAAGTATTTTTAGATGTCATAGAATCTGTTAATTTACTGGTGAGTCCAAGTTATTGAAAATTCAAAAATGAAAAAATATATTTTCAGAAAATTTTAATTTTACTATGTTTCTTCATATAAGGAAGTATATTTCCAAAATATAAAAATATAATAGTTTTTGTAATAGTTTCTTTTTTTTTTTCTATCTACCTGAACAATAAAATTATTATATATGTATATATTTTATTGTTCATTCGAGCTTGTCGTAGTGTCGAAGTTTTTATGTGTATTTTTTTTGTATTGTAACTTGTATAAGTTTGCTTTTTTTTTTCTGTATTGTAAGTTGTAAAGTTGTATAAAACATTATAGGCAAATGCAAATGGTGTAGTTCTACAGAGTGAAATAGTTGGTTCGGTTAAGATGCGTGTCTATTTAACAGGTATGCCGGAACTACGATTGGGTCTTAATGACAAAGTTTTGTTCGAAAGTAGTGGTAGTAAGTTTTTTTTACTTTTTTCCATGCAGACAGAACTTCTTTATTTTTGAGTATATCTTCAGCCTTTCTGACAACAAACTGCATGATTAAATGGTATTGAAATTTCTTTCGGCCTTTAGTTTATGGAAGGAATTTCCCTTATTTCTTTTCAGGGGGTAAAAACAGATCAGTAGAATTGGAAGATGTAAAATTTCATCAGTGTGTTCGTCTCTCTCGTTTTGAAAATGATCGGACAATCAGTTTTATACCACCAGATGGTGAATTCGAATTGATGAGTTACAGATTAATGACTGTTGTTAAGCCACTTATTTGGATGGAAGCAGTCGTTGAAAGACATACTCATTCAAGAGTCGAATATATGATAAAGGCAAATGGTTACCACAGAATTTTTTTGTTTTTAGAATTTGTTTATAATATCTTTACCAACCAGTCAGCATGGATTTTGAAGCCACAATTAAGAAACCATTATTGGCAGTTTTGGCTCCTGCATATCCCATCTTTCAGTTCTTTTTCTATTTAATTTAGTTTCAGCGGACAAGTGTGATTTATATTTTTCAAAAATTATAGGAGTAAAATTTATCATTCTTTTAGGCGAAATCGCAATTCAAACGACGCTCTACAGCAAATAATGTAGAGATTATCATCCCTGTGCCAAGTGATGCCGATTCGCCCAAATTCAAGACCTCCATCGGGACAGTAAAATACACACCAGAACAAAATTCATTTGTTTGGACAATTAAAAGTTTTCCAGGTTGTGGAGATTCCTAAGCAAGATTTCATGAAAGATAAAGAATTTATATTGAGTCAAATTTCGATTTCGAAAAGATTAAAGATGTTTTAACAATCTTATTAATTAAATGGATTTGCAGGTGGGAAAGAATATTTGATGCGAGCACATTTCAACTTACCATCGGTTCAGTGTGAAGACCGTGAGGGTCGTCCACCAATGAAAGTAAAATTTGAAATCCCGTATTTCACAACTTCCGGAATACAGGTTCATTTCTTTGAGTGATAATTTTTGGTGTTTTATCTAACCGTATTTCAACCGTATTCATTGTAGCAGTTTATTCATTTTATTTTTTAATGATAAGTTCTGTTCGTCTTTCTGTAGATTATTTTCAATCAATGGGTATATCGTCTGTCTCAGTTGTCCCAGACTCACTTTCGTTCCCAGTCAAAATTATCTATATTTTTCCATTTTTCTTTTTGGTCTTGATTTAAATTTAAATATCACATTATGCTCACAAAGCCTTATTAGTCTTATTTCTAGGACAGGAGATTAAAAGGTTTTGTCTTTATAAATTTATTTTGCAGGTACGTTATCTTAAAATCATTGAAAAAAGTGGTTATCAAGCTTTACCGTGGGTGCGCTACATTACGCAAAATGGTGACTACCAACTGCGCATGATGTGATTTTTCTCACATGCAGGTTTAATGAAATTTTATGCAGAGTAGTAGATTAGAGCTTTATGTCCATTTTTTGGAATCATAATATTTTGATGTAAATGTTTCAAAGTTTTTATCTTTCCTAACTTTGCTTTGTTGTTCACTGCATAATTGGAATTATTCATGAGTTAGCTTTATTGATATGATTTTTAATCATTATTTCTTGCTGATTTGGATTTTCTTTATGTAGAATTACTTTTGAAAAGCAGCTTTGCGTTTTGATACTTTGTTATGCTGTTTTTTTTTTTTTTTCAATTTTAGTTATGTTTATGCTTATTCTCTTAGTATTGTGGTTTTGTTTGTTGAACTTTTCAAAGTTTTATAAAATGATTCATATGCTTGTTCCTTTATATAATTAATCATAATTGATCATCTCGTTTTCATTATTCCATTTTTATCGACTTTGCATTTTGTTCCCAATGAAATTACTAGTTCCTATAATGATTAGTTTTTCTTTTGGAATCTGTTATTATTATTATTATGTTATTCTCTTCTTTTTTTTACTGGGAATACTGAAAATAAGAATTTCAAAATGTCTAGACATTGAGCATGTATATATTTGACAGTTTGGAATCATTGCTGAATTTTAGGTCATTCTTATGTGCTTTGTTCGATTTGGGTTTCTATATTGGGGTGATGATACTGTAGATGGCTCTCTTTAGACTTCATACACTTTATCATCATTCACAATGGATCTCTTATGACCAAAATGTATTTACTACTTTCATGCTATTGCAATGATGGTTTCAGTTTGTCTTCTAAATTTCTTGTTGCATAATGCATTACTCAAGTTTTTTTGCTGTTAATAATTAATTTTGTTTGTGGATATTTAAGTTTATAACAGAGATATAACTTAAATGCGAAATAATATTGCAAATAAGTGAAATTGAGTGAGTGTGGATGAATGGTCTTGATTACCAAAAATAGGATTTATTTAAGTTGCAAAGAGTAATGGTTTTTAAGAATCTTCTGCTTAACAGTTCTTTGTATTGATCATCTCGTCTTTACTCTTATTACAATGGACGATGGGATTACAGGAAAATCTTTAATGTTTTTTGTGCAGTCTGAATCTGTAGTGTAGATCAACTATTGTGAAAATTTTCTTGCTTTTATTTGCAATAAATTATTTCTTAATTTCCTCACGAAAGTATTAAAAGCCTTTTTGTATTTAGACGAATATTTTTCCGAATTTGTTTAGGACAAAGTGGTTACGTTTAGGGTACATATTTTATATCAAGTAGTTATGTAATATTTTTCTTAAAAGTTCAGTCTTTTTTAAATGGAGGGAATGATTCCATTTTTTCATTATTTATAATTATTATCATATCATAACTTATGAAGGCTTTTTTACCAAGTTAATCGAGAAATTCAGTATGAGCCTTAATGCAGTTATGCAGTGTATACGAAGCTCTATTGTAATATCAGCTTCTTGATGCTTCGACAGCTGATATAATCTTTATTGACTTAGTCAATGTTTAATTCATCATTTTTAGTTTTTGGTACTGCAAACTTTTCTATAAGTATTAGAACACGAGATTAAGTTTGGGTTTCGCTATGATTAAGGGAAGGAGAGAGAGTGAATTTTAAAGTCTTATGTTGGAAGATGCTTGTTTTTTTATGTTACAGCAATGATTCTGAGGAAAATGGTTTTGGCCAGTTCACTTCGCTGTTTTGGTATGTTTCCATCAGAGATTGCTTGCTTCAGGCGTGAATTTCTTCAACCCATTTCTAGGTGTTTAGGTCAACGGCATATATATAGAAGACATTCGCATTTGCTGTTGTCTTCGTTAAATGTATGTTTTTTTTTTTTTTAAATGATTTTTTCCAGTATGTTCACTGCTTCGTTTTATTCCTGAAATGCTTTGGAAGTTTCAGTTTCAGGATTCACTGTTTAAATTCGAGCAGCGCAAGTGGCTGGTAGAAGGAACAGAATATAGCATCCAAAAAGATCAAGAAAAGACTGAATGTATTGAAATGAAATACAGAATGGACTTAGAAATTGCACAAACAACTCCGAAAGTAATGCCTGAAGAATCAGTTTCTGGTTTGGAAATAGTAGAATTGGTTACGGCCGAACTGCGAAGAAATGGAAAGTTCTTTATACTTCCTATGAATGATGTAACTGCTATGAAAGCCCTCACAAAAGCTTTCAGACTTCTTGTCGATATCGGTAAGGTGAATATCAGTTTTTTGTTCCTAATCTTATAATATTTGGAGTGTTGAAAATAAAGTTTTAATAATGAAGGAACTTGTAGTGTAGCAGGAAGTTGTAGCACCAAAAACTATTGGTTTTCTTCGAAACTGATGAAATTATAACATTTTCTCAAGTTTTTTCGGTTTTTAAATCCGATATCTATTATTAAATACTAGGGATTCAACGGGAGTTCATTATTGATTCCTGCGTTTCTGTGCCTCAGTTGTTTGTATCACTAACTCAAAAAGGCGAAACAAGCATTCAGATAATAGAACTTATTGTGGATTTCTGCCGGCTTACTTACGAAGATTCCATTCGCATTTTCGCAACGTAGGTCTCATGTTGTTTATCCACTGGTTGTTTTAGATTGGTTCGATATTTCATTAACTTATTCATTTTGATCATTGCTTATTCTCGTTAGTTAAGCCAGTCATTTTGAATATTGTTTGAGAAAATTAAGATCCATTATCTTTTATAGATATAATGAAGAGCTGCTATCAGCAGGACCTGAAGAAATTCAAAAATGCATGGATGTACTTGATTCATATGGATTTCAAGATGAAGAATTAGGAAAAGCGATTTGTTCCTGTCCTGCATTACTTTTTGCCCATAAATCCAACAGACTAGCCCAGAACGCTGAGAATTTATTTTCTCATTTCAGTAAAAATCAGGTCTGCGACTATTGATCACATATTGATCAGTATCATATAATAAGCGTGATGTCCCTGTTCCTTCAGGGGGAATAAGGAAACTGTCTAGACCACCCTAGCTTCATCCCAAAAATACTGAATAAGCGATATTTACGACTACTCTGTTTCAGTTTTATTCGTTGTTAAAGTCTTGTCCAGAGATCTTGCTGGGCAGTACTGACGAGACGGAGGATAAAATTGAATATATTTATTGCCATATGCTCATGGAAGGCGAAGATTTTTCAAGCTGCTCGAATCTCGCACAAATATCACTGGAGGAATTAATAGATCGACATGAATTCTTGCTAAAAACAGGCACTTATAAAACTCCAGATCTAAAAAGACCACAGTTAAAAATGGTTTGTTTATACAGAATTTGAACTGAAGACTTCAGATTTAATAATTCCATATTGGAGATTTACCAACTCACGTCTTACCATTTTTGGGGTATGCCGTGATTTGTTCCATACTAACTACTCGTCGTGGATTTTGATTATGTACACATAACATCTCTAGATGGTACTTCATTTCTTATAAGTATCAGTCTTAATTATCTGATCTATAAACTATGTTTTCAGAAAAATCCGAAACTAAAAAAGATTGTGAATAGTGGTGCGGAACAATTTGCAAAAAAAGTAGGTTTTGTGTCCCTAGAGGAATGGCACCTATTCAGGGAGTTACAAAACAAACGACGGGTGTTAGAATCTGAGGGAAAGATGCATCCGTTTGAACGGATCAAGCCATCAATGAGGAAACAATCAGAACGCAAGAAGAAATCAGCGCTACCAAATGATTCTGGAACGTTTGATTTATATAATGAAAGGTATTAATAAAAGATATTCTAACTCGGGCTTTTACATATTATTTTTCTTCCGAAATGGTTTGTTTTTATCAGTCACTGGGACAAAAACCAGAGTGATACACTTTGTAAACTGTCTGATGTTTCGAGTCAGAATCATAAGATTTCTCAACATGAGTTAGTCTATGTAGGAGGAGATTTTCTTTCCTTCCAAAAGAACAAACACAGACTGCTATCGAAACAAGACAAAAAGGATAAGAGATCCGTGTCATGCCGAAAATCAAGTAGAGAATTATCACTAATTATATAACAGTATTATCAAACAACTAACATATTTCCGGAAAGAAAGAAAGAAAGGATCGTTTATATTTCAGTGAATATATCTCGAGTCAACAAATGTCGTGTAAGATATGGATTTAAAGCTACTGCAAGTAGAGTGAGTCTTGAAAGGAGTCACTGTTTACGATTGTATGGTCTATCCTTTCAGGCGAACTAATTCTTCACATAGGCGAGTTTTTCTTGACGTGTGGGGCTGGCGGGGTGCTGTGACGGTGTGCTGGATGGGTAATTTCCCTTTCCAGTCTTTCTGGATTGAGTGGGAGACCATTATCACCGGAGTTCATTCATTTAAACATTAAGCAGTTATTACCAGCGGCTGTCACCAAGATCTTGTGGGATTCTGAGACAGCGTAGGTCATTTGAGATATTCTAAGTCTATTAAAAGGGAACAGTCTTAATATGTATGTAAGTAAATTGAGGAAATCCGTTATCTCGAGCTCCTGAGCAGGAGGAATAATGTCGTGAAATGTGTGTGGTAAGGAGGTATAGGGTTAACGTACATACAGCAGCTATTAAACTTTTTCTCTTGCACATCTCGCTGACTTTCTTCACCTCTATCTGCAGAAGATGCCTCGCTCAATCATGTTGTCCTTACATTTGATTTCCTAGCGATGTCGTTCGGTGTGGATACGGTTTGCGAAGTTGGTTTGAAGTGTCTCCCAGTTGCGTTTGGAACTTTCTCTTTATTTATTAAGGTGGGTACTTTGGTCCCTAATTATCCAACGGGGTACAAGAAATCAGTGCTTTAATATTTAACTTTTCAAGTCTCTATTAATTTCGTTTTATGTTTATTTTCTTAACTAAATGTCTAATTATTCCATGGTTTCATATTAACTTCAAAGATAATTATAACAATTGCGAAAGCAGGATAAGCTTTTTTTTTCAGGAACTTGGAGATTATTAATGTACTGATGAAATAGGATTTAGTGGTACCCAAAATAGTAGCGAATTTTGATTCTAACTCGGCACATAAGCCTATGACTTTCTTTTATAAATTCGTTGTTATACTTTCTTTTATTTCTCGACTCATCAGAATTATTTGCTTAAATTAATTCATGTGGTATACCATTCAATTTCATTGGAAGCTTGAAGCAAAAAGATTACTGCAAAGGCAGTAATCTTTTCGCTTCAAGAAAAAATTGCAGATTAACGTTCTGTAATATGTAGTTATCATTGCGGGCCTAATTCTTCAATTTTCCCAATTTTCAGGGATGTAATCACTGAATACTTAGTGGTAAATTGGGTGGAGAATTTCATCAAACGTATTACTGGATAGCATTATAGTATTATCAAGTGGAACCTTTCGTTCCTTTGCAACACTCTTTTCTATTCAATTTGAAGTATGTTCACCATTCCCAATTTTGATAAATAATTTGGATTGTCTTTACTTGGCGATTTGTGTAAGGCCAATATGAGCATTTTTGATGGAAAAAGCGAATAATTAATCGCATTAAGTATGTGAATAACTACGTCCTTCGGATAAGATTTTTTTGGCACATTATTTCTATTGGTAATTTCTTACTGAACTATAAATTTCGACTTTTTGCACTACGCATGCTATAGAAATTAAAATAATCATTTCAAAAAACTTTAAATTATAAGTAAATAATCCTTGCGAAAAGAGTTCAAGGTTTATTTTTCGAAGCAAGCTTACATATGATAACAGGAGGATATGTAATACTATAATTTCGCGAAATTATGATGAGTCGAATTAAGGACATTGTTTCCACGTAATGACTTCATAGCAAAAGTGACAGCCGGAAAAATGCATTTTTTATGCTTTACGGAGCTTAGATATAATACATAATTGATAATTTGATTTGTCTGGAAGTCTTATTGTTACATAAAAAAAAAAAAAAAACATTGTTTTATTGAAATATGGAAGTTGCGATTGATACGGAAAGAGGTAGATCAACTGATAAATTAGACAAAAATCGTTTTCTGAATTTCTAAAAAATTCTGATATGGGTTTCTCAAGTGTTGCACCTTTTTATATTAAATAATTGAAGCATCATGACTTTTTTTCTTATAGATCAAGCTTGGGTGTAATGTTGAATCAGTCGTCGTCTTCTTCCACTAAAAATTATATTGATGTTTGTGGCGAGATTAGCGAATGTAATACTACGGCAGCTTCGCAGCAGCGTCTTCTTAGCGGTGGTACTGGTTCTAGACAGTTGAAGCAGGAGGAGTCAATTGTTGCTGCTACCAGTGTTTGTGCAGTCACTAATGATACACCTAACATGAGCACTCATGATGAGGTTGTTTTTAAAATCAAATTTCCTAATGCTGTTTTTCTAGTTAATGTGTTTGTGTTGCTTTGCTTCGATACTGAATTTAAGTATTGTTAAAACCCGGTAGTCTTGACTTATTCAACACTGAATTTAGTGATGATTAAATGCTAAAAGATTTTATTGCAAAAGTGGCACTAGAAAAGTCCTGAAATTAAAAAAGAAATTATTTATTCTGATGAATTTCTACCGGAATATATGCCAATTCAAGAAAATTTTAGGCTGGTTGCATGGCAAGTCTGTTTCATACCCCCCCTTGGGCATCAATGGCTATTCTTCCGCCACATAATTTAGCCCAGCAGCAGGGAGGCGTCACACGAGAAGTTGTTGGAGGTACAAATCATCCATTAGCGATGCGTTATTCAAGTTTTGATGGAACTGCTGCTGCTGCTGCTGCTGCTGCGAAGGATCCTATGAATCCGATGAATGCACCTCTTTATCAAGTTAGTATTTTCCCTAATGTGTTCAAATACTTATACGTTTATGCTATGATGAATCGAAGTTAAAGAATGGACATGGTATGGCGATGACCGTGGCTTCCAGATTCCGTGAGTTAGATTATGTGAGAGGCGATATTATATTATTATTATAATTATATGTAATTTATGATTATCGGGAATATTTCCGAAAAAAAATTACAAAAACTCTGAAATATATTAAGTACAAAGGTGTTTTCATTGCTGGATAAAAGTGTGTTAGCCCATTATATTCTTAGTTTCTATTATCCTTAGCTGATGCCAATTAGACACATCGTCTGTTATGATTACCGGTTATAACAAAATACGTAAGCTATTCAGAACTGTATTATCCCCGCATTTTTATAGAGAACATACCTGTAAAGATGCATAATCATTGCTGCAATAGATGATAAAAAACACTGAAGGTTTTCGAATTTTATAAAGAAGGATGATTAATTGTTATAAATATTTTCCTTTCTTTTGAGTGGGGAGCAGGTTCCATATTTTCTTGGTTACGCAAACCTGAGTGCTGGTTTACTACGAATATTGTAATTGCAATTTTAAATTTAAATTCAAAAAAATACTGCTACATCTTCGTAGCCTTTCCTGTTCACATTCCAATTTTTACAAGACTTATCCCTACATTTTTCGCTGTACTTTCGCCAACATTATGAAGGAATATTTGGCACGCCACGTGCTGCTGCAGCATGCATATTACTAAATAATATCAATGCAGTGGAACTGCTATACGAGCATTTATTCCACGTCATTAGGTGCCGCGATTACTATTTTTAATTTGTCAATCTTCTTGGTCTGTTATTTCGGATAATTCTTCAATATTGATGCTTGTAAAATAATTGAAGTTCTTTCATTATAGCTTAATAACGGCAATTATCAACAAAAAAAAAAGATTGAATCAAATATTAGACATCAAAGTGTGATTGTCTATCAATGGAAAGGATTTTTCTTCGGCAGAATTATTTTCCATTTCTGTAGTTGGCTTCTTTTGGTGAATACTATAATCAGTTTTAGATTTCTTTTAGTGAAAATACGATCTCGGTTTAAGACATCCATTTTATTGCTATGAAAATATTGATAAAATGAGTCTTTGATTATCTGCATTGTTATCGTTTCTCTCACATATTTTTGATTCCATGATTCTGAATCTTACTGATAAAACTCGTCAGGTAGTTCTATGAATGTTACTGCCAGTGCAAAAATTTATGACTACTTTTTTAAACCGGATTTTTCAACAAAAGAAACATGGAAGAGGAATGCGCCTGCAAAAATTCTAAGAATTTGGAAATTGTTATAGCTGGATTTTTCAGTTCTTATTCCACCGGACTAAGAATTTACACAGTGGTGGATAGGGGACAGGGATGCTCTCATGAATACAATTTAAGCTAAGTCATGTTACTGATTTGTAGTTCTCTTAATTATTTTTTTAAGCTGTTCGAGTCATGTTATTAATTTGTAGTTCTCTTTGGCATTTAATAAGAGTGAAAGTAGTCTTAACATCGCATTTTAGTACACCGTGATTTATACTTTTTTTGTGCGGGAAATTTAGAAAAAGAAGTGAAGATGTGAAAATTATTGTTGTTACTAGGCAGAATTTCCTTACTTCGTCCTCTGATTTTTTATTTACTTTCTTTTTATTGGATCTTTCGTTTTTCAGTCAGACTTTTGTTGTGGGATATTTTCAGTTGATTCGGTTTTGGCCTAATTATCTAATGAAAGGAAACCGTTGAATGTAATGGAAAAAAGTGTCGTAGTTTTCGAATGTGTGTATATCCGCAATATCGCGTATGCTCATTATTCGAGCTCTCTCTATTCACATTTTGTTTCTCTTTTTCACTCATTATCCCACATATTCGAAAGAAATGAAACACCCATATTTTTACCCATTCTTCCACTTCGTTTTTTTCGCGACAGCGATTGGAACAAAACATTCAGTTTTTGTTCGCCTTCCATTTTTTGTTTTTTTTTTTCAACCATTTATTTTCTTTTTTCGCCAATTTTTTTTTCTACATTAAATGCTGATATAGGGAAATGTCAAGCAACGTTTACTTTTTATAGTGTGCTTGGTGATATATACACATTTTCTCCATAAAATTGCATCAATAAGTAGATAGATAATAACGAAGGTCGCATAAGCAGCGCTTTTTAGTAGGTTAAGAACTATGATGAAAACCAGTTAGGCATTCTTCGGAGAGATTGTCGTCTGAGTACATTCAAGCTTCCGTCTATCTTCATCTCATTCTTTTCACTGTGCACTTTATGTGTACTCCAATTATAACATTTACGATTGTGATCTTCATGATTCCTATGATAATAGGCTTTCCCATCCTTAATTTCTCTGTCACTTTTTGTTGGATATTTTAATCCTTTCTGAGATATTAATATATCTTCTAAACTTGAAGAAAAATGTTTGTTTCAGTATTTTGCGTATTAGTTATATCAAATTACGTTTCCATATATTTCATGTAATAAGGACTGCAGTTTCGGGTTGAGTATGAATAGCTGATTAGATGGTCGGTCGTACCCTTTCCAGCCTACTCTTCGCAAGTAATTTGCTGATTGTATTGTTTTTTTTGCAGATCAAAAGAAGTAATAGAAGTAGAATGCATCATTTGGTCTGATGGAACTGAGTAAATGATAGTTGTCATGTGGTTGGTTTTGTGACAGGTTATAAAAGATGTAAGCGTTGTAGGTTCCTCTTTTTCCCCCTCTTCTTTTCTTCTTTCTGTCTTTCTCTTTCTCTTAGCTGTTGTACTCCGCTATGTGAAAATATCCATTTTTTGTGCTGAGAAAGGAGGAGAAGTAAAAAAAAAACTATCACTGCGAAAGTTTGAAAGAAGTTCGATTGGCCGATCAGCAGTTTCAATAGTTTGCTGATTTTCGCAGGAAGAAAGAGGGTGGTTTGTTTACAACAGTAGCAAGGAAGTGCACTGGAATCAAATTTCTTGAACGAGTTGTTAAAAAAGGATTCATGTCCAGAATAAAGTACAACAATAGCTGTTAACATTTGTTGTACTTCTCGGATAGTTTCAAGAGTCAGGATTTATCATGAATATGTAGCTAGAGAGTCTATGTTGCTGAAAAATGGGGAACAACTGCTGAAGATTTTGTACAAGCAAGGAAGCATTTTTTAGTAAGTTTCCTGCTATTTTGTTTTGAATGCTCCGCATAATTTTCATCGGTTGTATTATTATACTCGCATATTAAATATGCTCTATTAAAGGTTAGGTTGGTAGAGAGGCATTAGGTAAAAATCATGTAAATTTCGGATCGAGAAGATTTTAAAGAAATAATCGTGGTTATGCTTTTCTATCCTTCTACAGCCAATGCTTAATTAGCTGGAAACAAAAGATAAAGATTTATTGATCCATAAGTTAGAGGAACGAAGTGTTGGCTTTTTTCTTCTGTGCGGAGTGTGCAAAAATTACCTTGTTTTAAATTTCAATAAAGGCAGTGTCAATTTTTTAAGGACGAAATATGGTTTTACGCTTCATAAATTATCACATCCTTTTATGTTCTTTTGATTAATATTTGTTGCTTCATTATCTTTATTCTAAATACGCACTTAATCAAAACTATCAATGGTTTACCTGCACTTTTTTCACAATTATATCTACAGTTTTTCTTGAAGTCTCTTTTTCCTCAAATTCTAAGTACGCTAAATTATTGGAAATTACTAAAAAATTTCTTTTTCTCCCAAGTTTGATTCAAAATGGCGGAATGAGTCAGTCATAAAGCAAAGTATTTTCTTAATGCTGCTTATAGAAAGATAGTTTCCAAAGTATAATTAATATGTGCACGAAATTTATCAGAATTTGGTCACTGTCTCCATGTATAATAAATGGCAGACGATGTGCTGTTTCTCATATTCCTTAGCCGTTTCAACTTTTTTTCTACCAGTGTAACCGCTAAAATGATCTGAAATAAAAATTTGAAGTTTAGTTTTGAGTGATTGGGTTATTCATCTTGTTTTGTTTCCTTTTTCTTTTATTGTTAGCATATGTATAAATTAAGGCAGCGCTTCGTCTAAGAGACTCTGTGGTGAGAATGTAAACGATTACACTTTGTTCTGATTTATCAGATTTGTGCTGTATTGTTGCAGAACAACATAAATAATATTTTAATCAATTTATTTGTTTGCCTACATCATGTGGCCTGCTTCATGTTCCTCTCGTCATATTTGTCACGAGAACAGCTTGATTTCAATACATTGCAATTGATATTAGTAAACGCTAACGGATACCAGGTGTATAATTATGCCGAGTTACTGGTCATTTCCGAATGGTACGTTTTCGTATAGCTGGTAGTCCGTTGTTGTACAACTCAGCGTGTTTCTTCATCCTGCTTATGACTGATGTGTTTTTTTATTTCTTGCTTCCGACTGTATACTGTTTTGTAGGAAAAATGATTTTTGATTTATGTAAAAATGGGATGCTTAATTTAAAACCTTTTGAAATAATATTTGAATGGATTTGGACTAGCAGGGTTTTTCTCCTCACTTAAATATGTGTCGTGAAATCCGGAAGACTTCGCAATTGTCCTCAGTTTGTGCTCAGTGGTTACTTATGTTTGATTTATTTTTTATTAGTTACATTTTTTTTTAGTTCAGAAGTACCAATTTTACGGTACAGTGGTGAACAAGCAGTCACGTTATCTCGATTTGCTTCCATGAATGAATACTTTATTTATAAAAGAGGAGTATAGATAGTGCTTTTCACTTTTATCCACGATATTTTGTGAAGTGGCTTCTGTCTCAGTTTATCAATATTGTTTGCTTGCTGATACGCTTTGTGAAGCACGAAAGATTTTTTTCTTACATTATTATAGAAAATCTATCTATTATTTATTTGAATTTTTGATCTCTTTCTTATTCCCCTATTCATTTTTAGAAATGAGAATTTTCTCGGTTTTGTTTTGCAACAAATTTTAATTTTGTTTGAAATTTGAGCTTTTAGTGATAGAAAGATTGTTAGGGTTTTTTTTCAGAAAAAGTGGGGAAAAGTTTTTTTAAAAAAAAAACGTCATTGCAATTTTTTCATTCATATTTTGGAAGCTATTGTTATGGTTGTTGTTGTTGTTGTCACTGGTTTTTGCTTCTTGGCGTAGTTAGTGGCATATTTTTTTAAAATTTCTTTTTTTATTACCGTAAATGGAACAGGGCCTGATCCATCTTATCAGAAGAGAAGTTTTTCCTTACAATTGAAAATGTTTCAAAAAAGACTGACTGACTCCATGTTATAACGGTCCACAGTACAGCTGGAAAATTTTCCATTCATTTCCACAATTCATTCATGCTGGTTTCATCTGTTCTATCCACAGCTCTCCTCATTCCTTTGCTTGCTTTCAAAAAAAAAGAAAAAAAGAGAAACAAGCACGAGAGATAGCACTTTTTACCCTTCTCGTCCTTTTCTCCCCTCTCCTCATTCTCCTACAAAAAGCTCCCCAATACAAAAGCAAGCTTTTCCAGATTTTTTCTCTCCCCTTCTCTTCCTTTTTCCTATCTTTTCTTCACTCTCTACTTCTGTTGCACATCTTACTCCATTTCTGCTATTCCTACAAATAACAATTTTCTTTTTAAAAATTTTATGCAAATTTGCTATAAAAGCTCTTGGGCAGGTCTTACTTAGTCTCAGTTTTGCAACTCTTCCCTTCATTAGGGGTGTCTTTCATCGATTCGAAATACTTCGTTCGGATGATGTCTTTTGATTATTCTTTTGATTCTTCACGAACTTTCAGAATAAGAGGGTATTGTCTTGACAACAGTCTAACCAGCTGATAGTTGTTAAGATAGTGTGAAATGGGATGTTGACCAGAACCCTCGGAAGATTAGTTGATGTGGTAATGTGGTACCATCGGACGTGCAGCGTAACAAAACGACACGCTGTAATGGGATGGTGCTGGTACTATGCATTAAAGGAGAATCTGCTGTACTCAGAAGGTTTTTACTAGAAAGAATGGGTTGACGCGGACAGGCGGGCTGAAACAGGGTAGGTTGCCGTGTCTGATGGATTTTTTCTCCATAATTTGATCAAAAATGAAGATCAGAATTAGGTTTTGGGATATTTTCAGTTTCAAGATTTGGATATGATAGCAAGTATAGTGGCTAAGGAACAAGCACTACTGAAGATGAATACAGCAGCCGCAGCATCAAGCACTGCAGAACATGGTCGTTTGGCAGGCTTTGCTATACCGAGTCGCGCACATACTCAGGTTATAGTTAACGGGTATGTATCGTGAATACGATATTTTTTGCCTATCGTAATCCTTATGAAAATAACGAATTATGCGAGATTGCTTTTGCTTTATTTTTTACAATTTCCACGTCTGGTTGAAGATTCAATTAATTTTCTTTCCGAGTAAAATTTTAAGTTCTTAGAATTTTTTTTTTTTGAGATATGGTATGAACTTGCATTCAGTGTGCGGGAAATAGCTTGAAACCCTAAAGGCTTTTTCTGGACATTTCCCACATATTGAATAAAACTCGTATTTATTCAATTATTCGTAGACTTTCTAGTTTTTGACTATCTATCTGTATGCATGCACTTAATATCTTAAATGTTGCATTTATCTGTCTCTCTCCTTTTGAAAATACTAACAAAATAGGTTTAATTGCAGAGCACGAGAGAATATGTCATCACCAAGTGAAATGTCACCAACTTCATGCTCTCCATCATCATCCGACACATTGCAAAGCACCCAAGGGGGGACCAGTACTGCAATTCATGCACATAACGAACATCCCGGCCCGGAAGACACTGCGCCCAAAAGTGGGAATGGTTAGTGCAAACATTTATTGTTTTCACAACAATTTCGTGTACTGTTTTTAAAAGATATGAATGAAACTAATAATCCCTAGAATACTTACGACTTGCAACTTCTGTTAAAATATTTGTTTTCCAAAAAATTTTCTTGTCAAGTTGTGTGGAAATAGAAACAGTGAATTGATAGACTCCAATCTCTTGAATAAGCAGTTGAGGTGCAACATTTGAGAATATTTTCTTTTATATTAAGTATTTTTATCAAAAACGTACACCATCTATCAAGACTCAGTGACTTGCCATTTTCAGAATCACCTGTTGATGTGACGAGTCTCATGAAAGGTATTTCCTTTTTCCTTTTAAATTTTTACGTAGTATTCTGATTCATATTCATTTAGTATCGTATGTACTGAGGGGGTGACATGAATTTATGTTAAAAAATACAAGCGTTGTAGAAAATGAAATGGATGTGGGCTATTTCGTTGTAAGCCACTTGAACGGAAATTTAGGCAACAGAGATCTAATGCCGTTTATTTCTGTCAATCAACTAACACCATCGGCCTCTGCAGTAGGTAAACACATCGTCTATTTCTTTTGAATTTTCTAAGACGATGATGTCCTTGATGATTTTTATTGATCAAAGTAATGAAGAATGTATATAAGGAAATATATTTTAATTGCTCTCTTGGCGAACTAGGGTAACGAATTGTAAACAGTGAGGTGCGAACGAACGAATTTCAGGCTCATTCAGTCTTGCTTATCAGCAGCATAGCCTAGGACCAAGTAATAGTTCTCAACAGCAGCAAGCAAGCAATTCACGAGAAAGCAATATTCAGAGCGGTACTACAACGCTTCGTTCTAGGCATCGCTCGAGCCATCACGATGGCCTTATCAAATGTCATTATTGCCCTAAAAAGTGGGCCGACCAAGCTGTGGTTTGTTTTTGGACAAAAAGTTGGTAATAAATGGGTAATTCAAAAATGATGGAATACGAGATCAGTGAGATTTTTGATTTTTTTTTTTAAATATGTTGTTTGGCGGATAGCCTAGGCTTCAGTCGGTATTCGTGACATTGCAAATATTTTAAAATACGTCTTGCAACGGTAAAGTTCCTTCTCCTTCTTTGGCTTTTGAATAGTATTCATCGTTCGTAAAAATGTAATTTATGTGCTGGCTGTTATCTTTTTTGAATTTTTACTACATATCTAAGAAATTAATATCAAACTGGCCAATTTAATATGAGCAATTAAAAATCGAAAATAATTTTTTTATACGGAAAGCAGTGACTTTATTTCATTCTTCTGAATTCGTTTTCTTTCTCTGCTTGCATTTTCAATGCTTTTGTTCAGTTCTCTATTTACCACTACACTGTTCTCTGATGATATTTACAGCTTCTATAATTCTGTTTTATTTTTTATTTTTTCAAATATTTCAATAAATGAATAACAGTAGTAATTGTTGAATAATAAGAACCCTAAGAAATATAATATAATTTATTCGCGATTACTGACTGATCATTAATGATGTTAAACATTAAAATATGAAATTATTGGTTTCTCAGGGATTTTCAATTCCATACAAAATCGTCTTCAAATTTTCTTAGTGCTTTTTTTATTGTTATCAGCTATTGATGATGATGTCTTACTTTTGTGTTTATATTGCTTTTTGTGCGCTTCACACCATCTGCTAAACTAAATTTTTAACATTGTGTAGCAAAAGAACAGATTATTTTAGTTTTAGTTGTCATACAGAATGATGGCTATGTGGGTTAAACAAACCAACTTAAGTCTTTAATATTCTCTATTATCCTTTCTCAGAACACACAGTATAGGCTGCGGTGGGATTGTTTATGTAATTGATGGTTGTATTACAACTGGATGTTTTTCTTGATCAGCCATGATTCTTGAGTCATCGGATATGGAATTGACATAGCATATAATTGATTATCGCTGTTGCACCGTCAAAAAACAACAGTAAAATGATGCTGAGAATATTGCTATTGATCTTCGATTTGCAAGGAACTTGTAATCATTCTCTAATGTGATTTTAACTTCACTTCTACAACGGTTCTTCATGAAACTATGACTTACAAGCTGATTGTTACATAGTTTTGATGCGCTGCCTCATGTTTTTTCTTGTTTGCAAAGACCGAGTCATATCATTCAGATTTATTATGATAATTCTCAATCATATAAATCTTTTAAAGCATAATTCGAGTTTCATGTAGAACATTTTCGCTTCTTGAAGAGTTAATTTTTTGGATATCTTTGATACTAAGAACTTGGTTAAGATTTAGAGATCAAGGGATAAAATAACATAATATGCTTCCAATTTAGTTTATGGGAAAGATTAGTCCATAGATGCAACACATTTCCTGTATGTTCAAAATACCCTTATAATGAATGATATATACATTGAAATGATGTTGGTCAGGGGGGAATGTTCTAAAAGCTGAAGTCGGTAGTTCTGCTTTGTTTAAATAAAGAAAACTTTACTTTTACATTCAACGTACATAAGCTTACCCAAAATTTAATTTGCTGCAATTGCTATATTGCATACAAAATATTCGCCTACCCTAGAGCAAAGATACAATTGAAAAGTTATTTGAAATGTTGACTGTATATTATAATTTAGAATGCATTCTTTATAGAAACCACTTAAAAATTTTTTACAATAAAATTTGACTCACTGCTTCCATATGTTGTGAACGAAGTGTTATCTGTATCTCATATAATGTAGATATCAGTTTTAAGTTTGCGGCCAGTACCTGATATATTTCTAAGATATCCATCCTAGTTTTTTCTTCTATTCACAAAACTTACTAATTTTTTGTTGTTTTCACCAATGGAATAATTCTGAAAACTAAAAGACAAAAGATTTTTGAGTCACTCGAAGTAAAGCAATGTTTTATTTAATATTATGTCAGTGAACATTTGGTGCTTTAGTATTGACCAGCAAAAACATTCATTTTGATCAGTAAATTATTTCTTCATATGAAATTTGGATTATAGATATTTTATGCGATTGATTTCTTCTAAACATGTAATCCAAGGCTTGTCTGCTTGCGTTATTTCAAAGTCTCTGCCAATTCGTTTCATATCTCAGGACATCCTGAAGGAGGAACTGGTGTTCTCTAACGTTTTTTAATTACCTATAAGAACTAATTTCTTTTTTTCTCAATAGGAGTAATTGAGTATTGTGACTGTTGAATTATTACATAAGTTATATTTTCTACGGAATGAGTATTTCACTAATAAGATCCATTGTTGGGAGGAAACTATAGCTATGAAATCTTAAAATATTAGAGCTTATATAGTAGATGAGGACAAAAAACATGAGAATGCTGGTAGCATATTGTATAAATGGAATCTTATATGATGGATATAACGTAATGATCATCTACATCAAAATAGTGATATACAAAAGAAATATTTTGGATTCAATAAACATTTGGTATCGTTAGTGTGCATCAAATCTACTAGAAACGACGTTGCTTTGTGGTAGTTTTGATGAAGCGTTAAATTTTTGAGGATTGTTTGTTAAACTGAATATTCCTATTATATCCTGAAATTTGGGTCAACATCATAACAAGAACATTTCAAAGTTATGGGTCTATCATTATTTCGTCATTTATAAATTGAAAACTTTTTAAATCAGAAGCTCGTAGTCCGGGATTTTGTTTGTGCAATTATCACTAGATCAAGCGGTATATCACTAGTACAGTGCTGTTCAATTATGCTAAAAGGGTAAGAGCAGGGACATTCTATACTGAAGTGAGTAATACGTATTGCTTGAATCTATGACATCTAGATGATTTCATTTCCTGCGTTGTATCAATGCCATTTTTAGATTTTTAGAATCTCCATCAGCTCGCTTAAATTTTTATATATCATGCAGATATATTTGTATCTATCCGAAATTCGTTCAGTGAGATTTGAATGGAAAAAAATAATGCACTGAGAATATTGATTTTGAAATATAAATTTTGAAGTAAAACAACCTAATTGTAGACAAGATAAAAAAGTCGGGTTATATAAATCAAATTTTCGGAATACCGCTTGTTATTTTGAATCCACAACCAATGGTTATCATCGATTTCAGCATGTTGGGAGACATCTTTTTTTATTAATTTCCACTCTGTTGGACTATCATGAGTTAGAAATATCATTTTTATTATCGGAGTGATACTTGCATTCATCTTGGTCTTTCACAGTTTGCTTCGTTATAGATGCAAAAAATTTCTTTTAAAATTAAATCATTCAGTAAACTTTCTTTTTCGTCCAATTCTTTGAACTATGACACCGGGAAAATGAGTAGAGAGAATAATTTTTGCCTGTTTGGGCAAGCGAGCTTAATGGCAGGGTATAGAGTAGATTGCTGATTCACTTTTTTATTTCGAAATCCACAGTTTAACAATTAAAAAGAAAATACATAGATGTTTTATGTTACTTTCTTCTTAGTTCCATGATAAATGCTTTCTGTAGTGCAGATATCCGGAATTTAGTCTACTCATCATGGTAATAATGAAAATTAATGCTACTAATTTTTACTATTAGTGCTGTAAAAAACAAGGAATGTGGAGTTTAAACTAATTAATTGGTAATTTTAAATAGGAATAAAAATTAAAATCTTTATATTTTATATTTCTTGTCGGTAATGAGATGAATTCGTCGGAAATTTAAATTTTTTACTAGTTTTGTTCAGGTCTGCTTTTTACTTGTTGAAAAAGGATAGTGAGCATAATCAATTTTTTAGCTGCGAGTTCATATGGAAGAATGTCGATTGTTACGAATGCATGAATGTCAACAATGTGGTAAACGTTTCAAAGCACGCGGTGGTTTGCAGCAGCATTTACGCATACATTCGAACGATCGTCCGTATCAATGCCGTTTTTGTCCGAAGCGTTTCACTCAAAAGTCACATGTCGATCAGCATGAAAGGATCCATACTGGTTGATATTTCCTTACGATTACACAGGCCGGTGGTAGGATTCCTGAGCATTTTCTCTTATATGAAGATGAAACCTAGATTTGTACAGTGTAGTAAAGTGGAATGAGGTCGAGAGATGAAAATTGTGGCGTGTTAATGTTCTTGAGTATATATGCCTTCTTTTTTCATATCCAAAAAGGAAACTGTATCTCAGGTGCCAAACCATTTTCTTGTCAATTTTGTGGTCGCGCGTTTCGACAGCGTTCTCAACAGCTTGGACATGAATCAACCCATGCCAGTGGACCCCTTTCGATGAGTGCGCATTTACCGCATGCAAGCTCTCATCATATCAAATTTGAAAATGCAAAGTTTGTTCTGTTTTATCCCTTGTAATTAATTTTGTGGAGTGAATCAAGTATCAATTCATGGCAGGTAATGCATGCATTGTTTAATATGATGAAATTCTTTTTACCTATGGCTACAAGCAAGTGACATACCATGTGATTGCAGTGCCGATCAAGGATGCAGCCAAACAGCAGCTGGGGATGCCAGCAGTGTTGAAAGAAGTGCAGCTGTACAGCAGCAAGCGGTAACAGCGGTAGCTACCGCAGCAGCGGTTGCAGTAGCAGCACAACAGGACCGCTTAAACAGTTCGGGGAGCAGTACCTTGAGTTTGATGTCACCGAATGGTACTGGATTGGCACATAGTGCAGTCAGTTCACTGTTAGCATTAAGTCAGCAGCAGCAGACTCAAGGAATGGCGATGTCACAAAGTACTCAGCAGACTATTGCCGATGCTATCGGTGCAAGGAATAGTGCAGTGTGAACGGAAGCTCAATGTGACCCTCATTTTTGCATCATTTTGCAATACTTTCATCTTATCTTCATGTACTATGCTTTTCCAGGGCACACTGCTGTATTCTCGATTCGATGAGCTGTATGTCTTGTTTTGTAGCGCCGCTCAAATTGTCTTTTCAAGTGGATAATCGCTTGCTTGTTTAACTTGATCGTAGCATTTTTTTATTTGGTTCAGACGAATTATTATGTTATTGACTGCCAAAATCCATCCTTTTAGATCGGTGTCCCTTCTATGTTTTTTCTGTCCTTTAAATTGAGCTTTTTCGTACCATACTCTTTTACGCCATGTTTCCCGTTTATATCGTTGCATAATTATTGGGAGGCAGTTTATAAGTCTTATTGGGTTTTGCAGTTCGAGATTGAGCTTTCAAACTTCGAAAATTTTGAACAAATCATTTATTTTATTGGTACATAAGCATTACTTTCATTCATTTTTGCTTTTTTTCGGGTTATATTTTAAAAGGAAGTTTACATCCCAGATATAGTTGGTTGCAGTGGAGAGATTTTATTAATAACTTATAGATTATTGATCAGTTTTCAAACATGCAGTGAATCCCGCTTAGTATTGAGGAAAGACAAGTTGCTTGTCGATCCCTTAATACGGAATATTTCCATGAAGAATCAGATATTTTGTGGCTCTCTAGACCTGCAGTTTATTTTTTTTAAATAGATCTTTTTTTTATAACTCAGAGGTAACTACTTTCACATTAGATATTAAAATTAGTTTGGATGAATCTGCAAACCTCGCTTCTTTACAAAATGTTGGATATTTTGACATATACTTGCTACTTGAAAATTAATACCAACGATTAAGCTTGAGATCTTCGGTGTATTTATCATGCGTGTGTCATGTGTGTACATGTGTGTTTATGTCTTCTCTTTATTCAGTACCGTTTCTTGATATATTTCCCTATACCGTTTCGTTTTCTCTTTCTCGGCCAGTAAATTATTTGGCTCTTTTTTACTTTCTCCATACTTGCCTTGCTCTTGCTAGTTTACCTGATAGTTTCATTTATTTCATGTTTTCAAAATCTATTCCAGCTGCTTTTTCTTGGAATTTTCCTTGGCAATTACCACATATGCGTCGAATTTTTTCTTTTCTTGAAAGATAAGTGTTGAGAGGTCTCTCTTTCGCCTTTCCGATTCTCTTAACTCAGGCATTCCAGGTCTGTAATCAGACAGGATCAAATATAGATTTTAAGCAAAAGTGAGTACAGTTGTGATTTATGTGGGTAATGACCAGCTTGCCTAGCAAATTTTACATTGTAATGGTTATGATTGCAGTTCTCGATATTGCGACTGCAACACATCGAAGCGAGAATTCCATTTTACACTTTATAGAATTTTAATTGGACTTTATAATCAAAATCCGTTCATTTGATATTCGGTGCATTTGTGTTTCAATTAAATTATACTTTTAAATATTTGTTATAATTGCTATTAAACGATGCACTTGTAAAATGATTGAACGAAACTTTATTCTTCCGAAACATTGGTGGTATTGCGGGTCGGATTACCGTTTTCACTGATATTGTCGTAATTACTATTATTGTTATTGTTTATGGATGATTCCTCCTTCGAGATTTTTTCAGTTTATTATTGGATTTATTCTTAACATTAGTCTAAGAAGACAATCATTGGTTTAAATAATTGCCACATTTCCTAATTATTGTATTCTCACCGAGCTTTGTTCTTTTTTATTGAATTTGTTGTCTGTTCGTTTTTGTCGGTTTATTTTCTTACATTTTATTACGGTTGCCATTCGGGTCCTGTAATTTTTTAAATTGTAAAGTTGGAAGTATTTCTGTCTTTTTCCTTATTCTTTCGAGCCTTATTAAATATAGAAAATCTAATTTAAGGCGCACGATATTCTCTAGTTTCAAATCCATCATTTGTTGGAGCCTGAAAGATATAAGCTTTTTTCTGCAACAGTGTACCATGATTTCAGTATTCTTTCTCGAGATGATATGCTGTTTGCACCAATATTCACAGGTCTTCCACCACTTCGAGGCATTGAGACTGCCGCATAAATTGCACAAATTCAACTACTCGACATTACGTGAGCGAATGGGTGTTTCTATGTTAATTCGTATTTTCTTTTTTCTAATGACAGTTTAAGCCGTGATTTTCAGTCTACAATACCTTTTCGATTTGTCAAACTTTCCTATGCGAGAATGCGAGCTGAATAGTGATTCATCCTTTCTGCCCTTTCAGTGCAGTTATTTGTGAATGAGATGTGGAGATGGATTTTTCTTTTTTTTTTTTTTTTTTTTTTTCAAAATCTGTATAGTTTTACGTGTTGTACCCATCATTTTTTCGTTTTAAAATAAAGTTAAATTAAGGGCTAAAATACTTAGATTTAATGTTTTCCATTATGAATTATACGTATTCTTGGTACAGTTTGTGGTTATTTCAGATCTGATTTAAATGGATGCACTTCGCAAGTGTCCACCACTTCGTTTATATATGCTGCCCCAATCCTTCACCCCGCATTTCATCCCGTTCTCTTGTCCTGTTTAGCTTTCAAATAGTTGACGATAAGTTTATGTATTCTTTGAGTTTTTTGTGCTTCTGCTACAGCTGGAAAATAAATAAATTGGGTACTTTGTATATTGTTGAATAAATACACTTTGTATCGTCATTGGGTTTTCGGTTCTTCAATTATTTTTAACTGTTTGGATGCTGATATTTTCGTTTTATCTTAAATACATTTGTGTTTACACGTATCGAATGTCCCTGGTAAACTAGGAAATATTAATCTGAAAGACATCAAACTACCAAGATTTTATGTCAGGTAGACTTGAAGAGATTACTATGACTAAATGATGGTTTAGTTTGACTGGACTTGTACTGCAGTCATCAGTTCGTTGCAAACTGGAATGATGTTTATAGGTTCATAAAACGATTATTGGTCATATGCGGGTAGCCGGTTGAAAATTTCAGGGCTCAACCTAAATTATCCTTGAACTGTTGTGCTATTGGCTAATGATTGTTGGATGCTAGACTCATTCAAGTCTGTATGGTTAGGGTATTACCAGAATAAATAATTGTTCTGTATGGTTGCAAAATGGTCGAAATAAAATGGTTTATAATAAAGAATTTATTGAAGTAGACAACCTGTTTGGTGAGTAGAACCTTCACAAATATCGGTAAACTGATGAACTGCTTTTAGGTTGGTTGCGTGAGTAATGTCTCCTTGACCTGTTTCAATTATCTTGATTGCTTCCCAAAATTCGTATAAGCTTAGTTCGGAATAGTGAAAGTAAGCAATGATATGATAATATTGGTATGGACTTTTTGTTGCTTCATTTCTTCATATTGTATTATAAATGTTCATCATGTGCAAAAAATAAATTGCATTGATAAAGTTGGTAAATTTGTGAATCACAATGTACTGCTGGAATGGAATCAAATGTATCGCTGCTTCATCATTTATTTCATTTCATTTCATTCTTTTCTACCTGGACACATGTTTCACTATTCAAAAATGTAACAGATTATCCAAATATGAAATATACGAAATGGACAGACGTAGTATCTCAATTTTCGATAATTTTTTATTAAGTGGTAGTGTAGGTAGTAGCGCTCGTAGTTTTGCGAATGCACTATTGAATGACTCGACCCGAATGCTGTAACTTGTGAATAGCTATGAATAATGCATTCTTAAAAATCGACAAAAGGAATGAGATTAAATTATTTGAACTATGATTCTGCTTATGAGTTAGGAAGCTTAGTTCATTCTCAAACTTCTACGATAGTTGATTGCAATAGTTTATTTGGAAAAAGTTTAATGATATTAATATTATAATTGGTTGTAAAAAGATAAATTAGAAATGCCAAAAATTACCGCTCTCGACTGGCATGAAGATTGCGATATTTTGGCGTAGCGCGGCGTCGTTTCCGTCGTTCCGCTTTGCTCAATTTTTTTAACTCAATAGCTGATAACTGATGCATTACAGGAAATGTATGAATGCAAAGAATGAATGCAAGACGGGGGATCCAGGAGGTGGCATGTCAATTTTATTACTAACAGGGGATGGATGGAAAGAAGAGAGACGATTTTGGATTAATTGAATCATTCACCAACAGCATACCCTTCTATACCATTGTTTCATTGGCGATTCTCTGTGTATACTAGGTAGGAAATTTCATTAATTTTGTCTGGATGCAGGAATAGAAGTAATTAGTAACCACATGCTGTCTATAAGCTAAGCTTACTGGCTATTTACTACTAGCAGACTTAAAAATTTTCAAAGGTTTTCGGAATTTTTGCTATGTGTAAAAAATACTTTAATAATCACTTATTTCTTCATTAATTTAATTAAGTCACCTCTGATTTCTCACTAGAGTTAATTAATTAATGTAAGAGAAGAGAAAGATCATCACATTTACTTTTATAAAATTATTGTCTTATTGCTATCGGATTTCAATATATGATGCTATTTAAATGCATCACATAGGATGATATTGTTTCCGATAACATTTTCGCATTCGATAATCTGCGTTGCACTGATTGTTGGACTTTGATTGCTACAATACATTTTTAAACATTGATTGCAAGATCTTTCCACATTTGAGTGATTCTGTAGAAAGTTATGTTATCAATTCGGCTACTTAATCATTCCAAGAATGAATTTATTCAAAACATCTCGAAAAATCAAACGCTTTCAAAAATCCTCAGTAGTTCAAATGAATCTGGTATCATGTTCTCTGAAGGCTGTTGCAAAAACATCTGTACAGGAACGTCTTTTTTTTTTTTTTTCTTTTTTCTTTTTACAAATTCCGCAATTTTCGCTTCTCTAGCATTTCTTTTAATTTATCCTTCCTTTAAATTTGAAAACCATATTGTTTGGAGGGTATGCAATGGAAAAAGGATTAAAAAGGATAGAAACATTTCTATAATATTGACAGCACCTTTTGCATGCTTGACCTTTTGTCTCTCCAACAGAGCATTTGGTAAGAAATAATGAATGGCATCTGCAGGTTCCAAATAAGAATACAATTCTTACTCAAAAAACTGAAATTTCATAATTGCTTATCTAAGTCATTGTAATAATATTACGTGAGAATAGGTGTCTATTTCAAAAATCTTTGCACAATTCGACTGATTAACATACAAACAGTAAATATGGGACTATAAGTAATCTTTAGCAATGATATATTAATAAAATAGATGAGCTGAACAATAAATTTAATATAGATATTTATACGGCATGAAGCATAAATTAAAATAGCTGGTAAAAGTAGAATTTAAATAGTTGAAAGATAAACGCAAGTTATAAAGTGATGAATTCTTTCAAAATTCTGACTAAAAAATAAGATAGAGCTAGTTGGGAATCACAGGTAATGGAAAAAGCAATGAGATAGAGATAACCGGAAGAAAACATCACATTACAGTTGGCACAATAAAGCCCACGGGAAAAAAGAAAATAGGTAAGTGAAATAGTGATCTTGACGCTATTCAGTATGTTCCTTAGCGACTCAGCAAACTATACTGATTCGGACTGCAACTGCTGCAAGAAAAGATTTCGTTAGGTATGTTGACAAGTCGGTATGAAAAAATAGAAAGAGAAATATTCTAATAAGCGTTTGCGTAGAAATTACTTCCAGTCATGAGTTAAATTGTTCTTTCAAAAGTCTATTTTTTTTACGCAGTCTATCTTCATGCTTCCGAAAGTAAATTAGCTGTTTTCTTCTATCGTTTGAAAATAAAAATAAATGATTACTTTAAAGCGACAACATCGAATAATGCTGAAAACTCACCGGTAATATGCATGGAATACTTTCGTGAGCTCTTTGTCTTCGTAAATCAGATTTGATAAGAGCTTGAAAACCCATAAAATTATAAACATTTATCATAAAACAATCCTAATTGGCAAGAAAGATATCTACTTTGCATTATACACGACTCTTAAGAATTATGATTCTTAATAAATTAAGATATGGGAGTATAAAAACTAACCAGTAAGAAAAGTCCCAAAAATTAGAAATCCCGTAAGTGTTAAATTGCTGGCTAAAACACTACCATATTGAAGAATAAAACCAACACATAAAGTAAGTGCTATACCAAATATCTGAAAGTAAAAATTATGTAAATCAAAATTACCTAAACGAATTACTTTCATCAAAGAATAATGTTGAGAAGCAGTGAAAGTTTTTCAACCACATAAAAAGAATAATCTCCAGGAAATAAAAAAAAACCTGAGCAGAAGCATTTAGAAGACCTGACGCAGTTCCTTCAGCTACTGGAAAGGTTAATTCGGATGCAAATTCGAAACCAATCGGTAAATATCCTGTCATGAAAAAGCTGCAAAAAAATGGTAACGAGTTTTTTCAGCATGATATTGCAGGACTAATGCAGGTTATTTCTACGTCTCCTTTCTTTCGCTTATAAATTTCAAGCTTAAATTATAGCCCATTTTCGTCCTATGGCACAAAAAAATCAATAAATTTCATAGGATTTTTGAGCTTCAACAGACTGGGAATAATGTGTAAATTCTTTGTTTTGTTTTATCACTACATACAAATTTTGCACATGTGTGAATTTCTAACAGAACTGCGAATCCTTTTCAAAAAGCAAATTTATTTCTCCTTAGTGGTTGTTCAATTTATTTTTTATGTCTTCGACGTGTGGTTAAATCACTACATTTTATTACATCTGAATTTCCAGGCCAAAGAGGTTTCACTTCCGAATTTCATTATTAGAAGTGGACCAAAATGAATCATTCACTAGGTAAGTTTCTTTGATAGACAGATTCGACGTGTGGTTAAATCACTACATTTTATTACATCTGAATTTTCAGCAACTTCGATTTTCCTGTTGAGTTTAATTTTATTTTTGCCATAGCTTGTTCATCTAGTATTGATTAAATTTCTGACTACATTCAAAATTCTTTTGCAAATCATACCCGAGAAGTATGGAGCTTGCATAAATGTACCACATCTGTTCGACATTCACCAAAAAAGTAAACAAAAGCATGCCCATTGCACAGAATATATATACAACAAGTGTAGTCAATCTTTAAAAAAAAAAGTGATTTATAATAAATTATAATTTATAAGAAACTCAATACTTTATGGTTCTTACCAACTTTTTCCTTTTTTAAATGGCAAATTCTGATTTAACATATAACACTTTTTTCATTCACTCATTCATTCATTCTTTCACTTATTTATTCGCCTGATGAATAACTATAGTAGTAAATCACATTAAGCACGGGTAAGTTTTTGTGTGAAAATACTAAAATGGAGAACGGAAATGAAATGATAATCGACTAATCACCATTTAAAACAATATTCATTGGCAGCTCTTTCCCAGCTGCCATATTTGACAGTGCTGACATCCACAAGATAAATGTTGTGATATGACAGAACGGAACAAAGTTACAAAACTTTAATTGATGAATAGAAATGAACACCTACTTAAAGTGATGGAAACGGTCTAGGATGAAGCCACATAGCACTGAACCAATCATTCCTGCTAGAACCAGTAATAGACCAATCATTCCTATAATTTTATGACCGAAATAGCATTCGAATCAATCAAAAAATTATTTCAAAAAACAGCCCTTACTTTTCATTTAATAAATATAATATTTTACTGATTAACTCTGTCATTTACCTGCACTTTCTTGTTCATTTGGGTGAAATATCAGTATCATTTGACTGAGCACTGTTGATACGGCATAAAATACACCAACATTAACTCCTTAAAATTTTATATAATACTCTAACATATTTCATTTTGGAAAAGCTCTAAAAGGATAGAGAAAAAGGTTACGCAGTGAACTTTTTAAAACCTCGAAAATATGAATCTCACAAACTTTAAAATTATCCTACAACATTAAGAATTCTTAAACCCACTAATCAACAATTAGTTATACAAAAATTATACTTAAAATATTAGCTTAAAACCAGCCGCGCTTAAAACGAATATGCTTTGCATTAGCACTTGTAATTGTGCCAGACTTAGTGGCAAGGGTAGTTTCTCTGGAAATGCCTATTTTTTTTTTAAATTTTCAACACTTATGTATTTGAATCCTGCAAGTGAAGCAGATTTTTAATGAGTAGCAATGGGCAACTTGCAGTGCATCTTCCATCTTGCTAAATGTGAATCTGCAAAATGTGAACTTGCAAACTAAAATAGTGACATGCATACCATAAGTAATGAAAAGAAGTGTAAAATTTGGGTTTGTCATAAGTTGTTTCAATGAATGGTAATAATTTTTCTCGCTGGTATCCTCTAGCACTCGTAGTTGTGCCAAACTTGGTGGTAAGGGTGGTTTCTCTGGAAATGCTAAAACAGCAACAAAAAAAAAAAAAAAAAAAAAGTTAACTTAGGTGATTTTGATTATAAAATGGAGTAATCAGGAAAGAAAAGTGAGTCGAAAAATCTAGAATTTACAAATGATTAAATTTTAAAGTGATCGTGCAGAGAGTAATATACAAGACATCAACTGATAATTAGCCATCAGTTACTTAATACCGACCATTAGGCATCAATGACTTAATACCGAAATTGATAAAATAATTTTGAGGCCACAAAACGGTCGTATATTACTAATATAAATTGCAATCATGAATATCGCTAGGCTGATTTATACTTTAAAAAAAGTAGAAACTAACAAAATATGATTAGCAAGAAAACGATAGTATTAGCAACGACTGAAATGAGAAATAATCGGTTTAAATCAGAGGCAATAAAATCCGTAGTACCCATATGAACCAGAAAAGGGGGAAGCACAAATCCAATTGCAATGCCTAACTGAAAGAAATTTGAAAGTTTTAAAATAGTTCGAAAAATTAACAATTATAGAAGTCTATTCGCACATCTTTCAAATTATATTATTTGCACTGAGAATAATTCGTCCTTTTAACCTCTCAGCGTCTTATTAAGTTTGCCGTCTTTTCTACTTTAAATTGCTTTTTCTATATTTTAAATTGAATCTGATCATAACTTATAAACTAACATACTTGATTGCCGAAGACACCAATAGCGCATGCTGTGGAAACTTGTTCTGGACCGAACCATACAGCAGCTAACCTCGGCGGTATACCCAAGATAAACATTTGCGAAAAGCCCACGATGGTTTGTCCCAGGAATGTGATCCAAAATGCGTCTTAACTACAACAAATTATCCTCTTTTTGTCAGGAATTTTGAATCCCTATAATATTTTATTTTGCTGAGATTTGTGAGGAACACTTTTTTAAGAGTCACTTTACGTAGTTTTGTGTTATATAGCAGCTAGTCACGTCTTCTTGTTTTCAATTATTATTATGGTCTAATTATAATATAATTAATTTCGAGATTTAAATAGAACCAACCAGGGTTTGCTGAAAACATCTTGATACATGCTCCAATGCAGTTACCACTGGAACCAAGTATTATTGATATTCGTAAACCATATTTGTCAAGAACCCAACTAAAAACTGATTGTCACTTGAATGCAAAATTGCATTAGTTTAACCTAATGTTGATCATATAAATGAATTATTTGATTTTTTTTTTTTGAAATCTGTATGTATAGGAAAACACAAATAAGAACAGTTACAGTTATCAATAATAGAGGTATCATCTTTGAGGCATCCATAGCTCTATGAATTTCATTCGGCAACTGTTAGAATAAGTTCTTTCTCCTTCACAAATAGACAAACTGATTTCTCGAAAAATCTGCCAAACCTTGCGGGAAGCACAAAAATGATATAAGTAAGCATGTAAATCATTGAAGTCCAATTAACAGCAACGTAAGACACCGAGTAGAATTCGACAACGATATGGGCAATAACGGAATATTCAATCCATTGCATGGAATTGGAAGCTGACAGCAAGGCAAACACTAATAATATGTAATAACGTCTTTTATACAGCTGAATCTCTTCGGATTTCGATGCACTCTCCGGTCCACTTCCCTGTATTGTAGATACTTCTGTCTCCATCTCGTTTTTTCCTGAAAAACTGGGAATGTTTGGAAATGTCTATAAGTGATTAAAGTATATCATCAAATTATCAGACTAGTTAACAATAACTAATGTGACAAAGACTGAAATATTACTGTAGTTCAAAGATTTGTCAAGTACGAAGATAGTCAAAAGGTATCAAAATATATTCTCAAGCTTCTTATCTCGTATTTGTTTAGCTATCATTTTACTTTTTTTTTACAAACATTCATCACTTCGGTGCAAGAAAAAAAAAAACTTGAATTGTACATATACACATACACACAGAATGAAATGAGAAATTAGACTGTTTATCATTTCAAATCATACCATACGGCACTTTGCATAAATTTTATTTCCTATCTCTCACTATTTTCATGCATGCTTTTCTGTTTTACTCAAAAAACAAATCACCCCCAAAATTAGTACCGATTCCAAAAAAAAAAAAAAAAAAAAAGAAAAATGCTAAAATCTAATCATATTTCAAACTGGAAATGAAAAATAACAGAATAACAAGTCTTCAAATAATATGAACTTTATTTGAGATATGTGTGGTGATGAGTCAACATAACAGAGAAGGATTTTCTATTTGAAAATATTATCGAAATCAGTATGAATGTTAGGGAAGAAAGTAAAGTGGAATTAATTATGTTTATATGAAAAGAATCTTTATTACTTCATTCAAGATGGCTCTTTTCCATCTTCTTCAAATATGTCAACATGTGTCAACTAATTCAAACACTTCCTCTCTTCATTAATATTTTACAACTTGATACAATGTGTCAGAACGATATGAACATCAAATTAAATCATCACAGAAATAAACAACCATACTAAATTTTCTATTCATCTTTAGTGTGGATTGTGAGAATAACATATATTTTGTGGGTGAATGCTTTCCACGCATTTATAAAGTCCTCAACAGTTGTTATACTGAATCATCAGGAAGCGAAGTGTTTTTTTGCATGGAAAGCACTAGCACTCTATCTGTTATCTTAAAATGTTTTAATAAGACTTTACGCTGCAAATAGTTAAATGTAATTCTGAGTGCTTTCAAAGCGAACTGATTTCTGTTGCCTAACAATCACAGAATCAACACGGAAATCAATTCCTTAAGTTATTTTCTTTAGGACCTCAAAGTCCTAAAATTATGTATTCGATCTGCTATCATTGAAGGAATTTGAAATTGAATTCATACGTCAATTGTGTTAATAGCCACAACTCTAAAAAAATTTGTCAGGGTTTTACAAATATCATCCAATTTGAATGGTAGTAGGAACTGAATAACTTCAACTTTAGGAAGAAGAAATCTAGAATTTCAAAAACATGAAAGACATTTGCCATCCAAAAAATAAGAACAAAGTTCAACCCCAGTGATGTTCCTTTTATATTCTGTTATCATTCTAAGATTCTTTCTAAAAGCATTTTTCAATTATTTTTTGACTAAAAAGATGGACAAATTGCGCTTCATTATCTACATAATAGGCTTTCTTTTTTAAATCAAAATATGCACATGGTTGTATAATGTTGTTAAGATTGGTAAGACAATTTCAAATCTAATTAGTGACGTAAAAGAAGAGTACAATGTACACAAGAATACTAAATGTCGTTGACAGCATTTCGTTGGAAGATACCTTGCAATGATAATAGTAAAGTTTAAACATGAAGTTATGCAAACAAAGGAAAATTGGAGCCACGTGAATGAGTGAGTATTGGAGAGTACCTGTCACTTTACCTGTCCTACAACAGTGCTATAATGAGAAGAATATACATGTTGGATGGCTGGTGGGTTGGATGGATGAATGGATGGATGGATGAAAAGGAATTGCGATAGCTTTCTGAAGCGAAGGTACTGGGTGGTGTGTACACATTTGTCATCTATTCCAAAAGCTGATGATGTCATGTTGGAGACACTGTTGCCTGACCCTTCTTTGCTCCACTTCATGTGTATCTCTCATCATCGTGCTTCACTCTCTTCCTCTCTCCTCTTTCTCTTAGAATGTCAGAAATTCGTAGAAATTGGCAAAAGGGCGAATAAAGCTTAAAACCATCAGCGAATTTTGTGGAATGTTTGTAAGACAAAAGATGAGAGAATCAATAAATTCAATAACAAACTTAATTATAAGTAAAAAAGCAAAAAAGTTATTAAAAAAAGTAATTGTTTCAACTTATATACGTTAACAGTAAAGATCAAATAAGAAGTAACTTATTCTAAACTTATCACTTATTTCTCTTATCAGATCACCTTTTTGAAATTTCTTTGTAAAAAAAATAAAGTTGCTCACATTAATAGACTCATATTAATCTTAGAAAATATTTGGAGATTGTTAATATTTAAAAAGACTTTTTTTTTTTCTTTTTTCAAATCAGTTCCCATTTAAGAGGGCAAATACTGACAAGAATAACCATTAGCAGCAATGTGTGTTAAATATATTCACCGATCGGCCTGTAATATTTGCACTGGAACGGAGGTATGTAAAATCGGATCTTCATTACTAGTTTTTTCTTAATACCACGAATGGTAGTGACTAAGAGGCATGGCAAATTATTTCAACCACTGAAGTCACGTGATGTTTTCAAAAGATTTAGTGTCAAGTGTGATAATTAATGATGTCAAAGCACTGCTAGTGTTGACAGGGAGAAAATCATTACCTGCTGAAATCATAATTCAGAGAGTGTCGATAGCTATATTCATTCTACTGCTGCTAAGCAAAACACCATCTTTTAACTTACCAAATCAATAAAGCAAGTATTAGTGTTGACAACACAGATAAAATGACATCCTACCTTCTGCATACCTGCATGAATAGAAGATCATGCATACATATTCTACTACTATGCTATGAGAAAATTTTGTAGAAAAGCAATAAACTAGCAGAGAAACTACGCAACTAATTAATCTGGAACGTTTCGAAATTTTGATTATTTCTGAAATTAGGGAATTAATTCATCAAATGATTAGTAGTAGACGCTTAGTCGATACGTTACTGAACGGTGCATGTCGCATGACCTTTGTTACAAAGGAATAACTCAGAATTTTGCTATCACTTGCTGCTGTGAGCGTTTCATTTTTTCTCTAAGAAAGGAGAGAATGACGAATGGGTTGAGTAATTGGAATCTGGTATATGTCACGGCTATTGTAGTTGCTGAAAAATGAAATGACATTTCAATGCAGCAGTGTTTATTTGCTTTGATCACTACTTTCTGTAGCATTTCATTCACCTTAGATAAGAATTTGAAACAAACCCAAAAAAAAAAAAAAAAAAAAAAAAATTAAAGTTCAATTTCAAAATATTGACAAGAAAAAAAAGGGGAAAAGCACCTGTCGCATTTGCCATTCGTTAACAATGCGTGTTACAAATGCGTCCAATTCTTATGCGGGAGAAACAGTTCCGGTTTCCTTTTTTTTTTTTTTTCCTTTTTTCTTTTTTTTTTGAAGTTATTCTTCTTCCTCAAACAGAACAAATGAAAATTTCCAACGTTGTTAGAGAAATATATAAAAGGAAATTTCCTTTATTTATTTATTTAAATAAATGAACGTGCGAAGATCAAAAGATCAATTGGATAAAATGATTTGAATGTCAGAATGAATGAATGGAAAAGCTAAAAATGATTTTAATAAATGTAGCAGTCAATTTGTCCAATGTTTTAGTTCGGATATTCATCGTCAATTATCGTAATGAAAATTGAAAATGTAGATAAAACTACACAGCAAGCTACGACAATGGCTGTGTTACGAATCTTATGCCATTCATAAATGCTCGATTTTTACGCTTTTAAATAAGAAAGTTATAAAAATGATGTATTAGTCACCTTACACTTTGATTAATTCAATCGAGTCTTGTTGGATCAAATGCTTGTTGTTGTTGTAATTGTCTTGTTGTAATTGTCGCAGCTTTCCATGCAGTTTTATTTGCATTTCCAATAAAACTATTTATGATCGATATCCGAGTTGAAGCGTTTGGCACATTTTATGTATTCTTTTCAGTTCTAAAAAAAAATGTCTATTAAAACAACTGCCAGCAGCAGACAATCATTTCTATTGAAATCATTTTTCGCTTTTCATTCGATGCTTTATTTTCAAGCGTATTCATGTATATTCATCGGTATTTGCATTATTCTCTTTATCATTCAATTTTTGCTTCTCAAAATTTAAATGGAAAAGAGGAATATTTTTTGATGTAGCACTTATAGACTTACAATTTGTAATATCAAAAAAGTATATAACCAATCGTGTCTTTAATAATATAAATAAGGAAAATCAGTATATCGGGAATGATATGCCGGAGAAGTATGAAACGAAATGTTAGTAACAATTGTAAAAGCTTCTAAATATTTGTTCAAAGTAAAATAAATTCCTATTATTTTTAATACATAAGCATATGTATAATGAAAGCAGAATTCAAGCCAAAAGAAATAAGTTATAATACATATTTTAATGTTAATATTTCTATTATTGATTAATTATTAATGACAACTAAATTAGCGGCGCTTTTTAAAAATTTGCTGATCATTATCGAATGTTTTATCTTTTTTCGAGGGATAAGAATTAGTTAAATTAGTGAATTAATTAGCCTTCGCTAAACAGTTACCAGTAATGCAACAATGTGATAAACAAGCAAACAATGGTGATTGTGAGAAATCAAAAACTAAACATTTCTATTTTGTTTTCAATTCCAACATAAATATTGACAAGGCTTTTAAGTCAACAATTCCTATTCAAATTAGCTATTATATTTCGTTATCTAATAGTCTTATTTTTATTTTAAACAGTAATAGTCAATAATTAGAGCAAAGACTGTAGGATGTGATAAAGACATGGGTATTATTTTCAGTGTAAACCACTGATAATATCAATTAAAGCTAATTAATTTCGTCAAAGATTTAGAACAATGATATTATCCCGCAAGCTTTAACATTTCCAATTTCTAACAGAAATGTTAGACCATAAATTTTTGCATCCTTTTTGCAGAAGCCAAATTTTAAAATTCTTACTTATCACTTAGTCTTGAAAAGCAAGGTAATAGCGACCAAAAATTACGAGAAATTACAGTGAGAGAACCTGCTTTGGTATGCAATAAATGTTTAACGAAAAAAATCTGGGACCAAAGTTATGAAATCGAAGTTTTAAAAAGAGTGTCATTCATCATCTGTATTTGTTCTTTGTCAATCGGACCACACATACTCTTGAAAAATTGAAGTTTTTATTTGCTTATCGAGGTTTGCATTGTTTTTGTTAAACTAATGCAATTACAGTTAGGTATGTGAAGTTAGAGTACCTCTGAAGTATTGCATTTACTTATATATTTGAAGGGTATAAGGTGAAAAGACAAATTTTTAATGGAAATGTTATGGGCACTTCGTCTCATGTACTAGAATTAGTTTTTCAATTCTTCCTATTCTCAAATTACCAAGGGAATTTCAATTTGTTCGTCCATTTTTCTATTCTGAAGAGTTTTTGAAAGGTTTTTTCACTATTGAGATTCAAATTTATTTTGGTTTATTATGAAAATATTTATGAGATAAAAAACCAAAACAATATTGAAGAAAGCAAACAAAAATTAACGCATAAAATTAAAAAGTTATAACAAAACAAAAGGTTGTAGAAATTTGAATACTTCTGTACTCAATTAGGATCACAACTATTGCAGTTTCAATCTTAAGTGCTTGATAAGATATCGATGGAAATTTAATAAGCTCTTTACCACAAGTCTAACAATTTAAGTTACAAAAATGGAAAGAATGCTTCTTTGTATTTTTCCATGAAAACTTGAAAAAATTCCGATGGAAATCTGTCTTCTAAAACTTCAGACTATTCGATCTCGAAAAGATCGCAATGAGGGAGACCACGATGTCGAGAATAATTGAAAAGGATAAGTTTTGTGCATAATAAAATAAGATGTGCCGTCTCTTACTTTTTGAGGTTACGTATCACTTCTTCATGACATACATACACATTCGATCTCATTACTGGCGCATCAAGGTCACTCATCTCTCGCGCTATTGTTACTCCATTCGGCTGTCATCCCTTGTGTGGACACCAATCGAATGTGATGTTCCAGACTCTACTTGTTCAAGCCTTCCTCATAACCTTCATATTTTTACCAGGTAAACCAATTTTCACGCAATTTATGATGCGAGAAAAATACCATAGTCTGTTTCCATTATAGTGTAATGGATTATAGGTTAGAAGAAATAGGGAAAATGGAAGAGATGATACTCAAAGTGAGATTATCGAGCTTTTTGATGAATGTAAAGATAGTTTCATTATGTCGTATTTACCAATCCACTAATTATTGCAAATCACTCTTGCTGTAGAAACTGAAGACCATCCTCGGAAAAGAATTTATTATTTCATCTTTTATTTTTTTAAAATGCTCAAATTTCAGGTCTATGTTCAGATGTTGTTGAGACGGAAACACCGATTATGTATGACGTCGGAAAGAAACGAAAACTTGAAGACAGTATACCAGTAATTGAAATACGTGGTGAAGGCCAACCGATGACCGCAGCGCAAATAAGACAGCTTGAAGAAATGGCGAATGGTGGCCCACTTGATATCAAGGTCAAAGTTGATCAATCTTTTTGAGATGAAAAATGCATATTCTCATTTAGTTTAGGATGTCCGAATATGAAATTAACGTATTCTTCACATTTCACACTACTGCTTTTCTGTTGATGCCACCCTCTCTTTAAGGAATTCTTGTTGAAAACCCTTTGTCTTTGTTTTAATTCGTCGATTATCAGATGAATGATAAGAAAGCATAGTCTTTCTATTTTTGCCTATTCTATTTATATTAGTCTATATACTTAAAAGTTATAAATTTGCTTATCTAGATGAATTTACCATAAATTTCAGGTGGAGAAAACATGGCGACCAGTGAACTGTCCACGTGCTGCAAAACGTAAAGATTTCATAACATTCCACTATAAAGCATTCACTGAAGCTAATAAAAAGTGTGACCAGTCATATGGACATGAACCGATTCGAATACAGCTTGGCGTAGGCATGATAATACCTGGATTAGACAAAGGTATGCGTGGGATGTGCGACACTGAATTAAGGAAAATTCATGTACCATATCGGTTAAGCAGGAAAAAGAAAAGCAAAGGTAAGCTTAATAACGGTTATTAATAGGGTAGTTGATTTTGAATTTAGTGAAGTTTATTCAATTTTATTGTCTTAATCTGTGCTTGTTAAATTCAACTGAATATATGAACTTCTTGTTGAGATAATTCTTTATTGAGCTCAACAAGGTCTTCTCTCCCCACTGTATTTGCCAAGCCCGTTTTCTTGGGTGTGCTTTTGCCAAGTATTAAGTAGAAACCGTGGGAATCTCGTCAATCCCTTCATGTGCATCATGAATTAAACGAGGAGGCATTTGGCTACCCTAAGCGTTATAGTTACTCCCATCGTTTACCCGCGTTGATGGAGAAGGCTTTACTCTATCACTTTATTAATTTATGGGCAAATAAGCGTTCAAGCGCTATTTCTACTGCGTGCAAACAAATATTATATGAAGTGACAAGTGATGTATTCACTTTAATAATGAACATTTCAATAGTTACTTAGTTACCTCTGCCTAATACTCTATTCATTATGCGCAATTATTCCCAAATTGTTACAATCTTTGAAAAAATTATCCTGCCATTCTGTTGTGTTTCATTTTCGAAAAGTTTTTAAATCTCATCAGCTGGAAATTATCTGATTAAACAACTTTCATTAGTTGCACAAAGAAAGGATAACTGAGTCGGCGGAAGGTGTAAAATATTAAAATATATTCTTGACTATGCCAGTATTTAACAACAAACGAATATTCTGTCCCCACTCATATTTGGAAATTAATTTTTCAGTATGGAAAAATATTCCTAACGATGAGCACTGGCTTATTTTTAACATTGAAATGCTTACTGTTGAGCCGTGGTCACTCGATTTGCAATTCAACTTTCTAGATATCAATAACGATACAGTACTTACTGAAAATGAGGTTTTAACTAAATTATTATTGTAAATCAATGTTAAAAATTATCATTTCTACTTCATCTATTTCAGTTCATTACTTCACAAAAAATCACTATTTATGAAATCGATAACTTTTTCATAACTGCATTTGCGTTGATTAAAGAACTGCCTTGCTGTATGGTTAAAAGTTCTTGTCGATGTGAATAGAACCGGAAATAATCAGTCCTATTTCCAGAAATTTTATTTTTGAACCACGTGTCTTATAATAATGTTTTAGTTGGTTAAATTTCAAGAAAACCTGAAGAAAAATTTTGGCAAAACATGGAGAAATGAAAATATTGATTATGTGAATGCCGCTAGATATTATATCAGGTAGCTGTTTCAGACGTTTAAAATTCATCCCTGAACAAAACCTTAAACAATCCAGATGTTAGCTATTTCATCCAACTGCTGTCCATTGCATGCAGCTGTACTAAAGAAACACATCTAATTAAAAATATCGAATGATATTAGTCACAAGAACTAAACTCATAAAAACAAAACGGAAAATTTTTTCCAGATATTTCGATGTCGATAGAAACGGACGGATAGATTCGATGGAATTTCGCCAGGTGATGGAACGAGATATGGCGGTAATGGCTGCAGTAGCGAGTGATAAAAAGCTAGAAGGTCGGAAACGCGATCCATCGATTGCTTGGATTCTAGATTTTAATAATGATGGCATTGTTTCTGTGTCGGTACGTTATTCTTAATATTATTTCATAGTTATCTTAAACAAATCAAAGCCTTCATTATAGCTGTGAATTAATAAGTTGATGCGATCGATTGTAAGTATTTCTTTAATTTTTATTGCAGGAAATTGACCGAGCTGACGAAATATTGCAAGGAGAACCAGCCGTTCTACCAATATTTGCCAAAGATGAGCTTTAGGATTTGGTTCATTAAATAAATAAGTGATTTACTACCGTGATATGAATAGATTTTGTAAATCAGGAAGAGAGTGACATAATCTTTCGAATATGTTTGAGATTCTGAAATGCACTTATGCCCTATCATGTTTTAACATTACTCAATCTTTGCCATTTCTAGATATTATTCAAGTCTGAAATAATTGAAGTGATATTTGATTTCACTTGAATTTCATTTGTTTTAAAATTAGTTTTGGAAACTTGTTGAATATTTATGTAATAGAAATGATTGCGTTTTCAACAGAATTTTTCCAGAAATATAAAAAACTTATAACTTAATTGTCTTTTCTCCCTCTCATCAATATTAGAAGTAATTCATCAGTGTCAACTTCCAGCAGTATTCTCATTTATTCAAACTGCAATGGGCACATTAAAAATTAATTCAACAACCAACAATCATATCAAAACAATAGCAAAGGAATCATAAAAGACAATGATGGCATCAAATCATATTGATGTGTCATCAACAGAACATGTGAAACTTTTTCTTGCATTTCCTACAGATGTTTTAAATTTGCGGGAAATTGATCGATTAAATGCTCGTGTTAGATCTATATTTAAATAAAATGGCTTACTGGATTAGTCAGAAGTCAATTTAATAGAATGCAAAGTAAGTTGCAGCATAAACTTAGGAATTAAGTTTTTGATGCTAGATATAGATTATACTAACAGTAACGCTTCACAATTAAAATGTGTTATTATCTATTTCAAAATACTATCTATCTCCTTTGACATCAACTGACTGTATTAATTTCATCCGAATTTGCAAAAAATTTCTGAAAGCGATATTTATTAATAAACTATAGGAATTGTTTGTACAGTAGGTTTAAAGAAAATTTGAAACGTGCCACAATTATTTTATAAAATATTCCTTATTTAGGACAGTGTGCTTAGCAATTCATCATAATTCTGTTATATTTGAAAAATTCGCAATTCTTTTAAATGAAAAGTTGCTATTCATTTCAAATTTGCCTTATTAATCCTTTTATACAAACAATTCTAATGCTTTGAAAAAAGCTATAATGCAATTTTAAAATTAGGAAAGTTATCATTTTATTGCATTAATTTTAATAGGCGCTCCAATAATTATATCACTGATACAGTATTACTATATTTCAAAATAACACGAAAAAATCTGTCATCTATAACAGGGAATTTCAATTTCTTCTGTGATGAATGTATTAACTAATTAAACTATGTTCCCAATTTCGATTAAAAAAATTAAACAAAATATTTTGTTTTTATCTCTTACTATTTATAAAATTACAGAGTACAGGTAAAATTCCCCAGTGCATTGTTTAGCGTCGGAATGTATTTCTTGGAGTTATTTATTTTTATAAAATAAATCAAAATTTCTGATAGAGCCAAAAAATTCATTTGATTGCTTTCAGTGTTTGATCAGTACCTTTGTCACAACAACTAGATTTTTCATACATTTCATACAAATATTTGATGAAGTCTATTGTCCTCACAAGATGACAAGGCAACATAGAAAAAAAGACCCAACCCGTAGACGAAATATTGAGTGGATGATGTCATATATTAAAGGAGCTGTCCACATTCAGAGCTTTCATATTGGATGAGGAAGAGCTGCTCGAAGTTCCAAATTCAATATCTAATGATGCGAGTGGAGCATGCTTTTCGAATCCGTCCGGATTTCTGCCGCTATCCTGAGCGGATGGCCTGACATCGACGGCGGTATCAGCAGTTGCTGAAGGGTCAATAGTAACAACAATATTACTACTATTGTGTTCAATATAAGCGAGATCGTTAGTTCTCCTGGAGGTACTGCAGCATACGGCAAACGCATACTGATTTTGCTGTGGCGAATTGACTGGAGAAATTTGCGACGGCGGTGACCTCACTGTACTTAACATCGAAGGCGGACTATGCATTTCAACAGTCACATCTTGCCTGCAAATTACTTCAATGCCCTATTGCACATATAATGTTTAAGCTCAAAAAGCCTGATAAGGTAGAATACTGAGAAAACTGAGGGTAAGTCGTAGTCAGTAGTTAAAGTCATGCATCCTCATAAAAGCCAAATAAATCAAAGTCGCTTTTTATGAAAAGCATACCAATGGGAGGCATGATCGCAGTGTTCACTTGTGGACGTACAAGCGCGGCTGTGATCGTGTGTGTCAAATACTAAATCATTTTCGATGTCAAAGATACCACAATAATAACTATCAAGGTATCGCCCATACAATTTCCTGTAATTAAACTTACAGAAAAATGACAGTAATATTGCCCAAGATTACTTCAAAATTACAAATTCCTAGCAATTTCTTAGTACTTTTAGCTGGTCTAAGCAAAGCCATACTATATAAAAAACTTATGAAATTGTATTGAAATTTGAATCAGAATTTGACAAAATTTCAAAAGATTATGAATAAAATTTCCGACATGCAGATTTGAAATAATTTCAACCTTTTCCCCCATAGCAATGTTAATATTGGATGGAATTCAATGTGTTCTCATTTACCACAAAACTATCTCATCAATATTCGAAAAAAAAACTTAACCTATTATCAACATCATCGAGAAGCATTTGAGGTATACATGGTGTGGAACGATATTTCCGTTGTTTATCCATTACTGAAAATAAAAATATTGGCAAGTATAATGTTAATAAACAAATCAATAAGTAAATGAATAAACAAACAAATAAATAAAGAAAAAATGAACGAGTGGATGAATAGAATTGTTTATTAAAATTAGTGATAAAGCTGAGCACTTTTATGAACAAATATTGACACAAGTATCTGTATATCAGTAGTGTTGTAATGGTGTTATGAAGTAAGTCATTAATTGTGACAGCGTTATTTCTTCGCTAAAAAGAATAAACGAAACTTACTTGGAGTGAAATCACATCTTGACAATGGGACAGCTTTGTATAACGGTGTCCACTCACGTATCTCTTGGTCAGTCATTGGCAAATGTCGCTGTATCACATCTCTTTGCAACAAGGATGTTTTCTTACACGGATTAACTTCTATGTTATGAAGCACCTGCAACAATCATCGAAAAACTGAGCTCTTTACTCAAAAAAAATGACGTATGCGATTAATGGATGGAAAGGATAACCTGCGTATTCTTATCCCTGCTTTCAAGAGTAATAACACAGGCTACGATAAGGATAAATGAACCAATTCCCATTGCAACTGGTCCGAAATACTGCAAACTTTTAAACAAATACCGCTTGGTCCAGTTGGTGGACAATTTATCGGTACCATCATTTCCTCTGTGTACGATTTCCTGCAAAGTTTCACTTGAATTAAAAATAATTAATTATAGGAGTAATTCTTATAACATTTTGAAATAACCAAAAAGGATGATTTTATTGAGTTATTAAAATACTTATGAAACTGTTATTAAAAATTGCATAAAATAACAAACGACATAAATTTGCATAAATACTAGCATGTACTAAAAGTAGATAAAAATGTACAAACCTGAGATAAATAAACATCAAAATAACCAAGAATAGTCATCAAAATGCCAAAAAGGATAATAACACCACCAAAAACAATCGCTCTGCATGCTATCCACAACGTCTGAAGTAAGTAAACTGTTTCAAACAAGTTACAATTTTTCTATTTTCAAATAATTATGATTAATTTGGTAGACGATTTTTTTTTTTTTTTAAAAAAAAGATCAATTATCTGTAAAATTCTGGTGATAAAATTTTAACTGAGTCTCAGAATTTTTACCAAACACATTCATTTCTTCCCTAAACAAAGTGAAAGTGAATTATTTTAAAATCTTATTTGGTTCATTACCAGATTAATGCAACTTCAAAAGGCAACCATAGCAGTCAAACAAATTTAGTAGTAAGTGATTGGGGGTTGATCTTAATGGTATGAGATTATTAGTGTTAGCAATTATTTAAATTTCATTGTAAGATAAATATAGTGAAAGCAATTGAATCTCTTACTGTTTACAGTGTTTCATTAAATCTTACTCGTTAACTAACGTATTATATAATTATTATTTATTGCTTGCAGTGAAACACCGGTATTTCCATCAAGATTCCGAAAAAATATAGTGACTCACACAAATTTTAAACTTTTAAATACAACTTTTAAAAAGTATTCATAAGAAAAAAATATGTAAGAAACAAGTAGTTATCTTGGTTTGATGGAATGATGACTTATTTGATGTTACCACTTCATTATCTTCAGGTGTTCGTTTCAGTTCTAAAGTTCAGTTTCCACAAAAGATATAAAAAAGAAGAAAAAAAAAACAACTGTAAATCATGCATTTATCGACAATCCATTAATTTGACAAGGGAAAATATAGAACGATGAATGGGTAGTTAATGCAATGAGCAATTCAATAAAACTAATATTTACACTGTTCCCAAGCATAAATGAAAAAAGTATTGAAATCGATTAACTTTCAGGAAAGAAAAGTATTGAAGAGAGAGAGAGAGAGAAGAAAGTAAGTTAGAGATGAATACCTTTTCGGATAATGCTAAAGATTATGTCGTCGCCTCTCACTGTAAATCATGCAACTATCAACAATCCATTAATTTGACATAAGTGTGAGTGCTCCTTACACTACCTCTTAAATTTAGACTAAACTATTTTCACCGTGTTTTAAACATGGTTACACTGAATCTTTCGGTGTAATTATATTTCGGTTAGAATGTTGATAAATGCAACAGTGCATCTGTGTTACTGAATTCTTAATTTTTTAATTAATTAAATTAGATAAATTATTTTGTTCCTTCATGTGACTTATTTGAAAATTTTGAAAAAAAAAGAACAGAAAGGTAGATAGCTTTAAATTATGGTTTCAAAAATATGAAGAATTATTAAAATTAATCAGAATTCAAATTACGATTATAAAAATAAGCTAATGAGTTGCATTAGAAACAAAGCAATGTACTTCCATAAATATAAATTATTGGTGAAAGGCAGTGGAATAAAAAGAGGAAAAAGAAAGGAATAGGATTAAGTGTCAATGGGTATGAACATTTCACAGGTAAAGCTGACTAAAACTGATTACTATTTCGTTAAATAAGAATTTTTAACTTTATAAGAAAATAAACAAATTGGAATAGTCACACAGAAAGGAAATCGACAATAGGACAGGAATTAGTCCTTTATTTCAAATGCCATCAGGTCATGCCAGTCACTTAAAATTCTTTGTTCTGAGTTCCCTTAGAGAAACAAATAGTTATCCTAATTCTTTTGCCTACATATTTTAAGTGCACATTAAGTGATCGTTTTTCAGGTCTGAGTAATGACAAATCCACAGTCGCGTCAAAAAAAAAAGAAAAAATTCAGAGGATAGTCTGATAAAACTAAAACTAACTCTATCCTATAACCTGGACAATATAATTGAATCCTCAATTCCTTCTCTTTCATTTTTTTCAGACTGCTACTTTACTTATATGCTGTCTTCTTTTCATAATCATCTGATGAATAACTTGTTCAGTCTAGAAAAGTTTAGATAAAGTTTAAAAAACATAACTTCTAAATGAGTAGTTCAATCGAAGAAACCCACATCCGCTAATTTTTTCATTAATTTTCTTGTCCCTAGCTTATATTTAAACATTATCTCTCATTATTGCTCATTTAAAGTGTAAGGTTGCATGTTGATTAACCGAAGAGTAAATTCAGTAACCTACCAAACTATACCTATGGCGAGCTGAAGTCAGAGCTTTATGTAGTAAATAAGAAGACTTTATCTTAATTATAATTTCATACATTTTATCCTTATCAGAATAACTTTAACCTTTTTTCGAAAACAACAAAAAGTATACCGAAAGTTTCGACTTATTAATTTGATGATATTTGTAGTTTCTGTCATAAAAATTTCGTCGTATGACAGTGGCGGTTGGATGATGGATCATCAGCCCTCCTATTGCGCTGTCGCTTTGGTTTTAAAATGTCAGAAAATCCCAGAATTTTCTGACAAAAATTGTTTTCGACAAAACACTTTTCCGTTGTTGGGACTTTTGACGAAAATAGCAGAATAGATTGGATTATCAAGTAAGCGACATCAGCAAACGATCACCATTTATTTGTTTGTCTAGGTTTTAAAAACATTTGAATCTTATCAGAAAACTCGATTTTGTTGGTAAAGCAAAAAAGAATAAAATTACTCGATATATCGTCGAATGGAGGTTGAAAGAAAAGTAGGATGACAGAGAAATGAAAATATTAGGAGACAAAATAGATAAAAATGGATGTGACTACGAAAGCAATAGACTCGAAAATAATTCCCTATCAAAGTACAAAGAAGTTAAACTGGTGTAATTTCGATCAATTTAATTACTTTAATGAATTTGAAAGGCGGAAACCGTAGTAACTACTCGAAGGGATGGGACAAAAGTATAGGCTTTGGACTTCAGACAGGGAAAAAGACTGCGAAGAGAGTGAATGTGGAGATTGAGGGAATAGTTATTACTGGATAGATAAACAGATATTAACAAGAATTGTTGAAGAAAGATAACAAAATAAACAAGTAAAGAAATGAATCGAACGGCGAATTCGTCGTACCCAAACGTTCTTTAAACTCTTAGTTTTTCCACTGCTTCCTATGAATTATTTTGAAAGAAAAATATATAAATCATGATGTCTTAAGCGATTTAAGCTTCTTTTCAGGTGTGATCCCAAGCGTCAACGAAACAAATTCTTTAACTATGTCTCTCATGATCTCTCGTCTCGAAAAATAATATTTTTACAATGGACTCATGGTAGGCCGATAAACGAACAAGTTTAATTAACTATTATAAATAAAATACACACTCTCACTTCTAGTAGCCCTGTAATTTGACAATTTCAAGCTACTTGTTTCATTTTAAAAATCACTTTTTCCATTTAAATTGAGAGTGTTAAAATGAAACAGAAGTACAACAATTCATTCCTCAGTATTGAAGGAAAAAGTTTACATACTAAAATAGCTAATGGTAGCTATCCCATGGACGCATCATTCACACATTATTGAAATAGTGTAAATAATGGAAATGAGAATATGGATGGGGAGGTGATAGTGCAATAAGAAAAAGTTGGAAAAATTGAAGACTTTGGCTTCTTGTCCTCTTCTCAGCAACAAAAAAAGGTTAAATTGTTTGCTGCCATATTTCATTTCATTGCTTGTAATAGTAAGAATTGCCAGCGGTCAATCTTTTTTGGTCATCGATACTACTACTGACATAATGACCATTAGATGGACATCAGTGAATTAATTTATTGTAGTTTGAGATGGCAGTGTTTAAATAATCTCATGCAAAACGATTAGTTGAATTCACAATGAATGTGTTGGAATGATAATAGAAGAAAGAGCTGGTGAAGGAAGAAGAAGAAATCAAAAGGATTGGATGGATGAGAAAGACGGTCTATAGGAACGGATCTTTGTGACTAGTTTAAAAGTAGGCTGAATTGCATTTGCAGCTGATAATCATAAACATTTCTACACATTAATATATTAATTTTGTTAAACGAAAGATTTGGAAATTACGCAAAAAATCACTCGAAAATGTGACGATTCCTTTATCTTACCTTTTTAATTAATTTATAAGGAGAATATGAATACTGAAGGAAATACGGATTAAATGGGTCCAGGCCAAAATGAGATATTTAAGTTAAAAACTTTAAAAGTGAAATTTTAAATTACAAGCCTTAAACGACATATATAAACAAAAGACATATATTTCTTCAAAATTTATTTATTACGACTGATCTGATTAAGTTCTTTGAGAAAAACAAGAAAACTATCGCGCTCGGAAACCGATATTGTTCAAAAATTTCAGCAAATAGCTGAATTTCTTTTTATTTTGTTGCTAATTTTGTCACTTCACAAATTATTGTTTAGTTGATTAACAAGTAAAAATTTTCAATTCCTTCCAAAAAAAAAAAGAACTTTTACATTATTAGCAGCCAAGTTTGAGATCCGCGGCCAGGTAAAGAGATGAGATTTCTGAAATTTCTGAAATTCGAAGAATATGACACAATTCGGAGGCACTTAATCCGGATAACAAAAAAGTCTGTTAAGTAGGATATCAGCTACAGACAGAATAAAGAGAAGAAAGAGAGGAAAGAGAAACATATTTGATGGGATGAAATTAAATTTTCACTCGATGTGTATTTATGTATATATATAAGTGAGATGTTAATAGAATTTGCTGATCGTAGACAAGAAATGATGAGTAAAGAGGATTGCGAAGAATTAACAGTGTTCAGTAATGGTTAGCGAAAGTTTGATGAAAATGAAGAACAGATGTTAGGGAACATTTAGACTAGTAAATAAATATGAACAGATGAATGTTAAGTAGAGGAAGTAAGGCCTAGGATTTCATGTAAACATTTCTTCGCATCTACTGTTTCACTGTAGTTCTATCTATTTCCTTCGTCTAATGATTGGAAAATAGATAATGGAGGAAAATAGATGTCACATAATTTTAATGTAATTAAAAAGGGAAATGACTCACTCATATAGAAGCAATATCTGATTATAGTTTTGGATAGATAGTTATGAAAGATTGCTTTTAAGTTGAATTGAAGGGAAACTGATAGAAAGCAAATGGATGATTTCCTCATGAAAGAAAAGCATCTGCTTATTCTTTTACCCTCTTTTTGTGATCCGGATGTCCTTCCTGAACTGAGGTTTTTAGAACTCTTTAACATCAGTGAAATTTATATCTTGAAATTAGAGCAATTTACAAGAAAGTGATGACTCAGAAACCAAATAAGTACAGCTATTTAGCTGAGAGATAGTATAGTGAAGAGACGTGAAGAGAATAAGCGGTTCAAATTAGGCAAGAACAGTTGAGAATAATTGAAGCAACATCATATGTGAAATGGATCAGTTACTAGACCGGACCGGAAGGGACTGCTTTGGCATGACATTCTTGAAACTCATGAAATGCAAGAGATGGCTTTCATCTCGAGACCGTCACCGCTGCATAGTCGGACTCATCGGACTTAGTTTTCATAGTGACTCAGAGTGATCCAAACATGTTCGAAACAGTGTCTAAATCGATTTAGAAGGGCTATATGTGATGTATGAACTGTAGGTATCAGTTTGGGTAGGGGTTGGGCAGTTCACTTTAACCGACGGGAAAGGCAAATAGGATGTGTGATTCCTATTTTTCCTTAGATGATGGATAATAGCACTGTCACGAGATAGTTGGAGCTGAGCAGTAGGTGATCATTCTATTGAAAATACTACGAACTGCGAATGAAATCAAAGAACTACATTGATTTCATTAATAACATATTGTGGAATTGGACAAAAATCAAGTTAATTTTTTAAAATGAAATCAAATTAATTTTGAGCAGTTTTACCTCAATATGAACATGCTTCTTGGTTGTAATTTTGCGTCGTCCTTTTTCTCGTTTTCGTCTGGCCCTCAAGTAACCATCCCGACTTTGTAAACCGGTGTCCAAGGCTGATAGATTTATTTTCCCCAAACCTAATGAGACACCACGAGCAGTACCCAACATTTGCAGTCTAGGGTAAAATGATAGATTTCAGCTTCAAGTAGAGTGGATTTCAGATATTCCTTGTGGTGGATTATCTCTGCAGAGCTTTTCCAGTAGCCGGAATTCAGAGTAGAGAATTTCGCAGCTAAATATGGAAAGGTTATCCCATTTTAAGTAGTTGTTTCTTAGTAGACTCCTTGATTTCTCCATATGACCATGCAACCGTAATAGGTTCAATAATATAGTTTTAAGTAATAAATTCAGTCATGAAGCATGTAACTGATCCTAAAAATATTTTACAAGTGATATGCTTGACATATAGGTTATTGCAGTCCGTCATGTGCTCAAAATATGCTACGTATTTACATGGGAGGAAATAAGAACAGGATAAAAGATAAGGAAGCAGATTTAATTTTATGATATGATTTTCTTTAATGTTAACAGTTCTCTCACTAGCGTAAATTAGTTGCAGTCATTTGATAAACTAGTAAAATTAAATTTCAGATTGGTTAGACCGACGGTCGCATCTGTACTAGCAAAAGTTGTAAAGCACGATTATTTCAAGCTGTAAAACATCTTTATGAAATCTTTTAGCAACATTTACTTTGTCACTTATATATATTTAAAGCCTTCATGTAATGTTGTTCTGCAATATCAGAATTGAGAGTCACGGTGTCATGTTAAAGCACTAATACAAATTCAAGGTGCAGAGGAAAAAACCATTGTATCATAAAAAAATAACTGTATGTCGGTCAAACGAATAATAATGTGTCCTGTAGAATTGATTGCTTCCGGTTAGCCGCTTTGGGTTGCCAGAAATCATCCAGTAGTTTCCGTTTATTATCTATTCAAACGTGAAGTAAACACGTAAAACAAAAGACTCATATGAAGCAGTGGAGGATGGAGCATAATGATACTACGGCACCAGTTTAAGGATCTCCTTGACAAATAGATTAACTCTTTGAAGATTTCCTTAATAACAAGATTAACTCCTGTGTAGCTAAAATGCATGTTTAGTCACTAAGCTATAAATAAATCAAGATAACAGAAATCCGTATTTTTACACAGTTCCATATTTTTGAAAAAATTTTTAAAATTGAAGCTATAATTCCGTCTATTTTTAGGAACTTTTCAGGAGAATATTTAAAACTTGAAACGATCAAGGCATACATGTTCATCAGGTCAATCATATTAAAAGATCAATCAAAATGAAAACATATTACTGCTCATTTAAATATATAAATATAGGGATTTAATTTTTCAATCAAAGGCTGAATAGGCAGGTATTTGTCTGGTATAAATGAATAATAATAATACATCGAACAGCGTAACATTTGACATATGCAACGGAAAGGAATGGGAAAGCAGTAGTTATTCAGGGTAAGTATATATATATATTCAGGGTAATGTATTATGTGATGGAACT